ATTCTGCTTCGATAGTTTTTAAGGAAGGAAGCTAATTAATAATACTGTTAATAACTTCAATATAAACTAGATAAATACCGCTGGTTCAATTCCCAGAAACAATAATTGGAGTTTGGTACGGGTTCCCTTAAAATATTGGTTGTAAAATAACAAGCTAGATAAATATTTAACTAGGAACTTGATAGTTATCCTACGTCCTCCTCTGAGTTTCTCAGTGATGTCACGGTTCGCGATTATCGAATAGCGGAAGTAAGTTCGATGCCTTCGCCGGGTTTGTAGCAAACAGTTGAAAGTGCGATCCAAAGCATATAATACACGCGACACCCATATTAATAAACCAATGGTGCAATACCACTGGCGTCTCCAACAATTAGTTGTTACGTAACAATTTTATAAAATAACTAAATTTTTGTATTGATTATAGTTTATCCCTTTGTTATTGTCACATATTTATGCAATATAGTTTTTGATTTTCGATTTCATGATATTGAAGAACAGGGCTAGTGTTTTTTACTTATAACTATTCTCAAGTGAATCGTTATGGAAAATATTCACTATCGTGATGTAGCTCTAAGTATGACTCCCGAATGTAAAATCCGATACATTCACTTACTAAAGTGAGAAGAAGCCTTGACCCTGAATATAACCCTAATAATCTGATGGTAGAGAATCTGTAGAATATTATAAATATTCGATTGGTAGCACTATATTTATATTATATGTATAAAAAATAAATAATGACTATAGATGATAAGGAAAAAGATATAAATGATCACTTAAAAATCTTAATATTTAAATGTTCCTTACAGTAAAATCAAGGGAAGCAAAGTAATTTGAATCAGTTAGTAATTATCAATGTTGGCATTTACTAAAGTACCTAAGAATAGTAGAAAACAATTATTAAAAAGACAATTAATACGGAGTTAAGTAAAAACAAATCATTCAAACATTTGCCTAATATCGCTTGGAATTCGGATACTGATAGCGCCTGGTGTGTTCATTTAAAAAAGTTATGGTCCGCTGCTCTTGTATAATGTAAAGTTACCTTACATTAGTAGTTAGCTTAGTAATTATAAATACAAACTATTTTTAGATTCTCTTATATGAATTTGTACTACTCAACAAATATGTCTTCATTTACAAAAATCTGTTAAAGTAATAACTTGTAGATTCACCGCAAATAATTAGATTAGACCTAATAGACGAAAAATACGTTTAAATATTTATTTAATTGGTTTATGATGGATGCCCGCTCAAAATAAAATATTCGTACTTTAGACACATGTCTGGTACTTATTTTTATCATTCATATGATCAAATCATCATGTGTAACAAAAGCTATGTTGTATGGCTAATTCGTATGTAATAATGTCTAAACAAAATTCAATTACATACTAATCCTTATTTTTGTAGCTGAATGTTGGTCAACCGCATTTCGTATTACTCAACGGAACAGCGACATGCTTACGTAACATTTAAAATTAGAATAGAATAATGCCTAACGATTCCCGCACAAAGCAGTGTCAACATTTCGTACCAACCAGCTATATATTATATTTTCACTTGATTTGATAAATAAAACCATTACCTAAATTAATGATTGGAAATTGCACTTATTACTGGTACTAAAAATCTCAATATTTATATTAAAAATGTATTAATGTCTTAATAATCTGATAGAATTAACGAAGCGGTAACGGTTTTTTTGTGTCCTAATAGCAAAAGCAATAATGTATTCGGGTTAATCGTAGTATCAGACGTTAATAACATCATAATAACTTCAGATAAAATATTATTATTAATTTAAATAAAATTTTGTCGGCACACCTTTTTTGGAAAAGTTTTTGCCAAGTTTTATCCAGATTTAGATATTACCTATTTTTAAAGATATAGATAATAATTATTTTATATTAAATCTAAGAAGACACTTTGCAAGTATATATAATATATCTCCATGCTTCTCTGATATATCTGGTTCAGTCTATTGTCAGGTTCAAAATGAACACTATTTGCTAATAATATTTTTTATTACAATGTAGCCGTTATTGCTTTTGGTCAAAATGTATTCAAAATCAGAATAATGATGAATCAGTATTATATTACGGACTCAGTCCCAGAGACTCGTCCCAACACAGCTGTATGCGAAGACTCAAAAAAAGTACAATTTTATAGCAAACCTCGTGACGTGCCTTTGAACACGACTGGGGTCGTTGCAGTTCAAGTGCTGGGTCATACCCACTGTCACGACCTGACAAAAACACAAAATAATTAATTTATTACCAATTCTAAATTCTAGCCCTGTAACTTGTTTCCTAATAATAAATATTGCCATAAAATTAATTTAAAATAAGGAAATCGTGATTCGAGAGTCACATTGAAGCTCTGTTATCTGGTAATTTTACCTGACCTTCGAGTAAAATCCACTGAACAGACGAGAGATATTGTATCCATGCGGCATCATCTCATTTTCTAGTAATAGAAAGTACTACGGCCTACAATCTCATGGACTAGATTTTTTCCTAAATGACAGCGTCTGTATGCCCTTAATTTCCCCCGAGCCTCCATAACTGCCTTGATAACGCCCAAGGCCAGCTTTTTGCGTTCGTTATTATAATATCCTTTACCTTGCTAACATTCTACCGCTTCTCTCCTAACTAGGTGATCAAATGAAAATATTTTTGTAGAGATTTACTGGTACTCACTAATAGTAACAATACTTAGGATGACACTGATTTATTAGAATAATTATGGCTTTGTATGGAATTTACCTGTTTTCGGGAATTAATTGGTAACTTCTGGCCTCGCAGGTCTCGAGTTCAATTTCCAGATACCTTTAAAAAACCACAAGAGAAACAAGACTGAAACTTTCTCTCTTCACAAAATTATTGTCAAACACACTTTAAAGCATAAAATTTTAAAGGTAGACGCCATGAGAAATAAGATCCCCGATTAGGCATGGATCGGGCAGGGCATGTCTAAGCATATTTTATTCATTTATGCATGCGAATTCAAATGACTATCAATAGCTTTATAGATAAATTTGATTACTGATGTCACCCAAATAGTCGTCAAGTCGAAACACTTATTACTTTGCTGGGAATCGAACCTAGAGCGTACAAACACAGAAATTTAATATCAAATAAAATGATTAATTTCTTCCAAGTCGTTTGATTCCTGGTCGATGTCTCCAATCAAAGGCGTGATGAATCGTAGAAACAGGGCGGAGCGGCACAAGCGCGGGTTCAATGACCTTTCGAGAAACCATTTCCCGATCAGAATCTTAGGAATACCTCAATATAATATTGCTATCAATTTTCTATAATAATAACAGTATAGCTGTATTATTAAAGCAAACCGAAATTAAAATTCGATTTAGTACCAAGTTTTTTGAGGGTTAAGTCATAGGTACTTTTGGGATTACGCAATAAGGCACGGTGGTATTTGCAAGGAGGTCGTGAGTCAAAACTAAGCCAAAGAGCAGTAACTTACTTTAAATATCCGTGAAACAGACACAGAAAATAAATTTGTTTAATAGATATTTACGAGAATTTATTACGTTATTTGTATAACTCCGTTCTGTTTTACGGAAATTGTCTCTCGAAATCGAATCGGGCTCACTCTGCTGGCACTGCGAACCAAAATGTGTCTTGGGCTACGAATCGAGAAACTTCCACCGCTCCCTGTCCACGTCCAGTTAATGGCATTCAGCTGCGAATAAAGCTGCTTTCGAAGTTGACAACAATTTAATATTGTAAAATTTGTTGAAAATTGTTATAAAATCTGTAGTTAGATTTTGATGTACAGTATTCGCGATTTACTATTTATTACTTCGATTTTAAAGTAAGCCAAAGTCAGTATTATACTTCTAAATGCCTCGTGCGTTTGTAATAGGCCAGTGACATGACTTTCGCGAAACTAAGCATAAAAATAATAATGATTATTATAGAAAAATTGGTCCCAGTAGCAGAGTGGCCATAATCTCTTTGTAAATAAAAACTACGTCTAAACGTCAAGGTTAGCAAAGCAAAAGCTATATACCGGACTAACGCAGGCTTCACTCTTTTGTCCTTGTTCTAATATAAATCGCATCGTTTTCAATTAAATCATTTAGTGCTAAAGTTTTATGGAAAGATAAAATTAAGAAGTTATCTATTCGCTAAATAACCTTGGCAGTTTGTTATGCGTTATTTCGAACAATTGTCTGAAGCTGAAGTAACATTTAAAAATTTTTTTTTCGGTTTTTGCCTTATAAAGATTTACCCGTAAATCTGAACATATTTAAATAGTAATCAGTTGTAATTGTGACATCACTAATGCCTTTATTATGAATAATTGTGTAACTTTGCTAAGATAACAATAGAGGGAATTATAATAACTACGAACGTACGTTTCTAATTGTACCATCGTACATATTATTAATCATGTCATTCAATGGTTTCACATGTAATTGTAGATAGGTATGTGGCGCTGAAATAATTATAAGCACGTAATCTATAAAGGTCGCTACGACTGTCACCGATGGAGTTGTTGGAGACAAGATGTCTGTTAATTAATAACCCTTGATTTTTATCTATATTTATGTTGAGATAAGCAGATACCGCAAAACGCTCTAAATTTACTTTAACCAGAATCCAGAATGAGTTCACAGAACATTGATTTTATTTAAAAAAAACTTATATTAAAATTTCGCGATCCTTGTCTGCGTTATTCGCATGAATCCGCTCTGAGCGTTTCAACGCTTTGGCAATTTCCTGTGCATCTGCGATCATCAACATTTTCGTACTCTTTAAAACTAATCATAACATCAAAGCATCTCGATCCTCGCTGGCAGGCACGTGCTGCTGTAAAATGAATCTCAGTTCAGTATATCGCGGTCGCGTAGCTACAAAACACTGCTCCAATTTGCTGGAAACCCACGCATTTGTCAATATAAACACCGGCTCCTCAGGTTATATCTATGTAAAGTGACGTAAACAATGTGATATATATTTCGTGATAAAATGATTGAATTAGTGAAAATGCCAGATACCAACGGTATAAATGGGGCTCTAAGGGACATAGGGGCGAATGCTTTCGTTTGTCGCGTGCAATACTTGAACGACTTGGATCCTTTCAACGAGTATAATGTTAGACTACCGACGAGACCACTTTACCACACTTTCAACTCGTTGATACCCCTGTCGTATCAAATCGCTGCCGTACATCGATTACTGCAAGCTCCACACAGGGTAAGTGCTCACAATCTACACCTTACCATCTTACTTATAGTTATAGTATAGCTATTAAAAACGTTAAAGTATACACTAGTCAAGAAAGTAATTGGTAAGTGATACTTTCGATATTGAATACGTCATCCCCTAGAAGGTTCAAAGGAAAGAAAATATATGTGTTGTTTTATATATTGTATACTTAGATAGTACACGCAGTCAATAAACTGATTAAACACTAATTCAGTATCTTTTAACTGTTAACTAAAGTACCCTTTCGTGTCTTTCTGTCGAATTGTGTTTACACTGATGAAAGAAGTACGAGTACATTAGTTAAACCGCGACGATTACAATTATAACGTTTTTATGTATAAAGGCCTTAAAGCAGTGTTTCCCAATGTGGGGACCACGCCCCACAGGGGGCAATCGAAATCAGCTGGATATTGAGACACAAAAACTGGGAAACACTGCCTTAAAGTGTTTTATGCATTTCTCTGTCAGAACGTACCATGTTTAATTTAGGCATGTAGTAAGTTTATAAATGACACTGTAACTATACGTGTGTGTTTATTTTAATAAAGTATCATTAGTAATACAACTTAGTCATCGTGGCAGCTAAAATTATCTGTTCTAAATATTTGTTCGCTCTCAGGTGAGAGTGGCACGTAATCGCGCACGAGGTAAAGCCATCGTTTGGGAGAATAAACAAATGCAATTTTGCAAGCTTATTCTACAAATATAAGCGACATGCACACATTACCAGTATAAATCTCTAAGTAGGCTACACCTAGGCTTTTAAGGCAGAAACTACTAAACAGAATATTTATTTATATATGTCAGACTACGTATCGACATCGCCATGATAGAACCAGGGCTTTCTATGATAGAGAAAAAATAATAGATGTTCAACAAACCCTTTTGTGGTTAACAAGAACCTAATAAACCAAAGGCTAAATCAATCAATCCAATTTAATACACTGAACTATCTAATATTGAATTAATTATTGAATAAAAACATTGCTTTCCGACTAGAGCTTGATGAAATAAAAGAAATTTAACAAAACAAAATGCAGGCGTGTTTTATATGAAAAAAATTGTTGATATTTCGACATCACCTTACATTTAGCATCCGGCCTTGTGTTTTGTTTTTTTTTCTAAAAATTATGTTTATTAAGGATAGTGTAAGCATTCAAAAGAATAACGTCAAATAAAATATTGTATTTTCACATAATCCCTTTACAAGACAACTTAAGTTTGTAACGAATTTACTGGTTTAGTAATAATACTATTAAAATATACAAGAGCAGAGAAAGAAAAAAGCCATCCGTACATTGACCATGCGCTTGTCTAGATTATTTCTCTATAAAAAGTTATCAAGGCCATTCTTTTACAATCACCAACTTTGTGTCTGATTAATTGGAATAAAGTAAACATGTTTCAAGATAGTTCGCAGATGGTTCGCGATCTTTAATCATTTCTTTAAATACAATTGTGACGTCATATTAGAGATAGGTATTACCAATCTTAGAACGGGAGGGCTATATAGCGCGCAAGGACAACTCCTGATGGACTCGAAGGCTCCTTGAATAGACCTTGGCAGAACATAAGACCGTCTGGCCGATCACCAACGAGATAGATCGACGTCATCACAAAGCGTGCAAACGCAATGCCGGTCGAATAGGAGAAAAATCGGTGAGGCCTTCTTCCAAAGATGGACCCAAAAAATGGCTGATAATGATGATGAATCCAATCTAAAGTAAAGCCCAAACTAGTTTTAAACTTTATAAGACTAAACACCGAACCAAGACATTCATTAAGTTAAAGATTATTTATGTCATTCACTAAAGTTCTATATCTAATCGTAAGCTTTGATCTTTTGTAATCGAGTCGTTAACAAAGGCGTTCAATTTAGTAGCTGAGTTTCACTTTAGGTACAGTATTATAGTTATTAATCTATCCTTAGAAATATTGTAATGGAGTACAGCTGTATGGTCATAAGAGGATACCAGAGCAGAATTAAATTTCTTAGTTTAAAATACAAAATAATGTTTTTTTCTAATTTACTTGAAACTTATATTGCTTCTTTAGTTTACGGAAGTTACTTGGACATCCTAGGATTCAAATATATCAGTTTGGACAGACCACATCTTACCTATTGCAAAAATTACCAGGTTTTGAAAATGTATCTACATTTATAACTTTGTAACAAATATTACAAGATAAATGAGGTTTAACCTAAAAAATAACTTTTCTAGGTGGCTCATAAGATGAGACAGACAAGTGTCAAACGAGTAACGTGTACACTGTACACCTTGTTACAAAGTTAACTGACTCCGAATAGTCCGCGGTATCAGGGCTGTCGCAGAAAGCCTTTTTAATAAAGATACGGCTCTGAAAAATATATCATATGGATTTTACTATATAACTAAAACATTTTTTTAAATCAACAATTTCTAAATATTATAGCATATGATTTCATCTTTGACAATGGCATTCGTGGCTAGCCAAACGACGTTTATTTATCATTATTTTATCCCTGCGAAAGCGCAATTGCTTCGGGTTGTACACAGCACTCACTTGCTCGCCTTCAAAAGCCTACAACTTGCCCACTTTGCATTTAGAACAATGTCGTTTATTTTTCTACTTACCCCGTTTTAAGTGACAATTCAATAGTATTAGAATATCTATATATATAAAAATGTTATGTTGGTTTGTACTTTGTGTACGCTTCAAAAACTCAAAAAGTTCTGCACCGATCGAGCTGAAATTTTAGCATGATATATAATCCGCATCAAGGATTGTTTTTATCAATTTTTTTGTTTATAATGTTTTCTTTGTTTTGTTTCTCATTTCTCAACCATTCAATCACAATGTGCCACAGCGAAGCGTGGCAGGGAACAGCTAGTTATATATATATTACGACTGGACCGATTTTGGTTTTGATTCAAGTGGTTTCGGGAATGGTTTAGATTTACAAATAGATGTTTTTATTGTCTTTGTTAAGTTTGAATTATAATTATTTTTGTATTTAGGATGTGTGAACATACCACATCTGTCGGTTCCGATATTTATATATTAGTTCTACACCATCGTTAAACAAATAACACCAATAAATAATGTCGTAGAACGTCAAAAAACAGTCGGCGTCCCTATACAGACAATACATGAATTACGGCCTGCAGCAACAGACCGGTTACATACATATACACACAATGCATATTGTCTTAAATGATCTGCCAAAGTGTCAGTACCATCATTAACGTGCAAGTAATATTACCGTTAAAACTGAATCTGGTCTATTTTGCTAGGATGTGTGAAAATCTTCACTCCAAACTGTTAACGAGTCATTGCTACAACTTGTTGACAGAAACTACTTAAGAAAACTTTGTCAGATTCTTCGCTACTACGGAATTGATTTTTATAAATCGTTCACCGGTAGAAAGCACGAATGACAACCGTGGTACTTCCTCTCATTCCATGCGATCCAGAAATTGAATTCTACATATTGTGCTTAACTTTTAATCAAAATTAGAATCTGGGGTTAAAGTGACCAGATTCTGTACTACTAATAAGTAATAGGGTAGAAAAATTATAGCCAACGTCTGGTTGCTACATCGTAGAGCTGGCAAAGATTTGCTGACTTCCAAATCTTTGGAACATATGGAGATTTACAAATCAAATTATTGCCGAAAATAGTCAATTTGGATATTGACTAAAAAAAAGAAAAAGAATAATAATTTTCCGTATCGGGACGAACTCTAGCAAACGTCTTAGTTTGATCCCTACATCTAAAAATTCAATTGTCTTTTGTTTAAAACTTAAACTTTTCCTGATTTCAAGTTAGCATAAAGGGCTTAAACTCTTTTAATTCTGCATAAATAATTACTTATACTGAAGGCCATTCCAACAAATTTATCTATTTCGTGGTTTGTCCATTTATTGGGGATTCCACTAACAAAAAACGTGTCATGACCCAGATGTTCCATTATTAGCTTTGCAGAGCAACCTATTTTACTTGACCTACAAGTTCTTTTAAATATTTACAGTAACTGCTTAGCCTAGAACTTTTAACTCCCTTATGTTTAAGACGTTTGATGACTAACGTTATTGGCGCTACTGCTAAAGAAGAGATTCTCGACATTAAGAAACTTATTAATCGTATTTACTAAGTCATTGTTAAATTAATATTACTTTGATTATATTTAAATGAACGTGATATATATATATATATATTTCTGAATAGTTGCCACAATCATTCTGTATGAGCTTACATGAGTTATGCCCACGATACGATTACATCGGTCTGTGTTTCATGGTTGAGATGTCTATTTGGCACTTTTATTGGTAAGAGGGGCTAAGGTAGATAATTAAAAAATCCATAAAGTTTTTGACATTAGGCAGTCATAGTTCGCTCTGTCTTAACTCTGAATGGTACCCTAAGCAGTTAGGTCACTTAGGTACAAGAAAAACAATCAGATCCAGTGAAAACCAGTGCATTCTTCAACTGTCTACTTGGGTTAAGATATACTAAATTTATTTTTACCTACACAAAAGATACAACGACGTGTACGTATTTAGAAAGACTGACATAATTTAAGTGCTTAAACTTTACCAACTATATTATACCTTTGTACATATAGGACTTATTACAATTTATTTGACATACCAACTCATGGAATAGTGCCACAAAAATAAATATTTATTTTAGTTATTTACACTTCGTTCAATAATATACAAAATCATACATATAAAAAAACAAAACTTAAAACAGAAATTAATTCACTAGTGATGAAAGTGTTATATTAAATTATAAACATAAATAGGTGTAGTTGTCAAAATATTAATTCAATGAAACCAATTCCTACTTCGAGTGCGCAACGACCCAATTCTAAATATAGGTCTACCTTTAAAATTAAAAAAAAATTAAAAATTTACATACTATTTACTTACAAGTTACACAAGAAACAATTGCCAAACATATATTATAGCGACTAGTAGTAAAAAATAAAAAAAACAACGTACATTCGTGCATGCTAAAACGACGTGCTGATTTCCACACTATCAATTCTGGATAAATGCCAATAGCGCCCAACTTCTTACCTATATCGTATTAACGATGATTTCACGTTGCTATACTAATTATTGAATAATTATATCGTTTATTAGAAATCTATGAAAGTACATTTTGAAAATCGTTTTGGGAAACATTTAGGATTTAAGGATTAGTTTTGGATTACAGAAAAAATCCATTTAATTATCATTATTTTAAACATTTTCTTCTGTACAATACAAGAGGTCTATATTTAAGAAGATATTATAAATTTAATGAGAAGTACAACGTAAGGTTTAACTCAATCATATTCTCCCTAAGTTTTCAAGAGATGCCGCTTAATAATTATTACCTGCTTTCAGTTGGATGATGCCACTCTTCAGGTGTTTAAGGACGGTGACTATGGACCTTATTTAGACCTTGATCTAACTCTAGCTGAACAAGATGAAGAAATAGAAGGGCTACAAGAAAGGTAAATTGTAATAAATTAATAACATAAGGCTATTATATTAAGTCTTACAGTACTCAGAGTCGACCGTTAAATGATCTCTAATTAGGTTGATCGAGTTAGTTAGTCGTTAGATTTAAGATCAGTTGGGGGGTAGTTAGATACCATTTTAGCCTCCGAGTGGATCTATGAAAAGTACGATGTACCGGATATTGTAAAACTATCAGATAGGATGATCTGACCATGATGCCTCAATAAAAAAGCGAGTGTACGGCCTCTTAGAAAAGCTACGCCTTAAAATCTCTATGGTGAAGAAAAATGCGTAGAATCGAAGAGAACCAACTGAAGCCTGTAGCGCCTCAGAGATAATGATTGGATCTGTGGTGAACATTTAGATCTCTGAGTACACCTGTTAATTTTGATATCATAAAACTAACTATACCTAGAGGTGTTCTAAATGTCCATATATACAATATAGTATAGGTAAAATAGCAGACTTCCTCGTCACCCTACTATCAAACAATCAAACGCATCATAGTCCCCACGACGCAATATAATATAATCATCTATCAAATTATTCTATAAAGTATAAAACCAGGGTGTCATATTTTTTAAATTATCTAGCGATGCGATTTTTATTTAGCATTTGCGAGTGTTACTTATAATAGATAATTATTATTATTAAAAGTGTCTTTTATCTGTAAGAGTAAGTGTAACCCGAAAGATTGAATGCAATTTGACGTTATTTTTTACTGTGTCAAATCTATCAATTAATTCTCGATTATAACTACTAAATCAGTCTTACCTACGGATATTACTTCTTACAATTTTGGTTTTTTATTATAACAATAATTTTGTTTATTATAACTCCACACTGCGTGTGAATTTTAGTGTTGTGAACATTGTTATGGAAAGTATTGGCTTGCGTAAATGTAACAATATGGAAAGTATGGAAAATCAAGTCGTTAGAACTATAATTAATTGTATATGAAGAGAACGTTTTTTGCTTAGCAATTGAATCGCAACGAAGACGAATCTTAAAGAAAAACGAGAGAGCATCAACAATGAACTTGCACTATACCGCTTAATACATAGGTTGTTTGAAATAAAACGATTTGATTTATTAGTGAATTGGACATGTATTTTATTTATATATATATCTATATCTTATATACCGCGCATTTTAAAAATCTTGTATAACTATTTAGTACGATTTTTAATTAGTTTTTACTTCCTTTTATTAGTTGTAACAAGCTATCTTACATCAAATATCTTTCGTTAGATTAAAGAACTTTTGATTAACATAACAAAATTTTGTATAAAATTTATGAACACCATGTTATATGCTATGGTTTAAGTAAAATGAATCGAGGGTTTTTTTTTAATCTTCACACGAGTAGTAGCGAGCATCGACAATAGACGTCATTTGGCTCTAAAATACTGTTTAAGTAAAATTGTTTTTTTTAAATAGAACCTTTTTTTAAATTCATCATCCTGGCTGTAGACAGCGATGAAAATTGTGATATCGAAGATTTTGATCAGTTTATAGATCTGGATGAAGAGTGAGTGTTAATGTCGTTTTGTATATTTTCAGTAGCGATTTTGCACTAAAAATATAAGGTGTATTTTTTTAATCTTATTTTATTTGTAATACAAAAGTGTTATGCTTTCGGCGAAGGTCTTAATTTTTTTTTATAATAGAACACTATTGATTTTGTTTAGTTTTTGTTAGGTAAAAAAGCTCCCTTGCGTGCGTTTTTGCGAAAGGATTTAATGTTTTTTGACAATAAATAAATATTTTATTTTTTATTCCAGTCGCAAAAATGCTTTGGTACTGCGCACTCAATTATCGGTACGAGTACATGCTATCACTGGTAAGTAGTATTATTATTAGATTACCTATATAAATATGCCTAAATTAATAAAATATATAATATTAATTAGTTAAATAATTAGTTTCCATTTAAAATTGTGTTTATTGATACTTAATTTTAAACCTCTAAATTTGCATAGACACAGAACGGATAAAGCAGATCGACCACGATTGATCCGAAGGATTCATGTTTTCCTACCCGCAAAAAATGGGTGGCAAAATATGATGCGTTTTTTCTTAAGACTCACGTAATCGATGTGGCTACGGTTCTTTTTAGGATCTGCCGTTTAGGCGTTTCTAGATCATCAGCTCTTTGCTGCGGCAGAAATGTCGGGGGTAACTTAACATTTTATAATCTTAATTATTGTATCATTCCCATCAGATACAATTAATGACGCTGATATGGTAGAGCCATCCTCAAAAACATTATTAATGACTGATATGTATTAAATACAGTATGTATTACTTTTAGTTCTAGTTTCAAATCACGGCTGTAGCCAATGGACTTCTTTTTATGTGCGCATTTAACACACCCTCGTGCGGTGAAGGTAAACCTCGTGAGGCCTTAGACTTAAAAGTCAACGGCGTATGTCAATCACAGAAAGCTGATCATCTATTTGCCTATAAAGAAAAGAAAATTATCACGAAATCGATGCAGAAATTTGAGGCCTAGAGTATAAACAAGGGACTTTTTTTTTAATATGTGATTTCTTTCATTTCAGAACGACTTCTACATTCCCAAGGAAAAGACCTGCGGCGGGCTTTGTTTGCCGTGAAGCAGATGTTACAGTCTGATAAGGACTTGGTGCATGAATTTGTGGCTAATAATGGCCTTGATTGTCTTATGCAAGTCAGTGCGAAGGAGGATCAAACTTACCTTGACTACATTTTACGAGCCCTCGGACAAGTAAGCAAATTTCTATATCGAGTTTATCTTTTCTTTAGGACCAGATCTGCGATTCGCCGAAAATGTGTTATCAACAAATCGCCTCATCTCATGTCGAATTTGATATCAGTTTCCCTTCCCTACATATTAATTATTACCAATTACTTAAGTTGTGCAGAATCAGGATAAGATGTAGGAATATTTTATTTATTTTTATTTATTAACACTTCGTTGCATTACAATATAAAATTGTATATAATTAAATGAAATGTGGGCAATTTACAATTTACAATTCGTCATTTGAGATTTTAAGAAATTATTTTGTATGAAATATAGACTACTAATACATATTTCATAAATTCTGTTTACGAAATTTTAATTTTAAAAATAGAATTTCTAAAAGGTAATTCGCCCTTCTCACTCTCTCTCAATCGGTCTCAATCGCTCTCTCCCTTTTCTTCAACAATAACGCTGCACATCTTCGTGACGCTAATATTATGATTATTACGTTTCATCCGTAAAATTTTACCCTCATACGCCTAAAGAAGTTTCTCTTCAAAAATCCAAAGTGTTGCATAACTTGTTTGTTTAAGAAAATGTATGTTTTAATTTCATGGTGTACAAAATATTAAAATGAAATGCTCGAATACTAACGTATTCAATTTTTACAGTTCGAATTCGTCTTATTTTCTCTCCAGTCAGCACATTATGTCATAATATAGGTAAAATATGGGTATGATTTTGTATCCTTTGGAACCGGTACTTTTTATGCGCAGTTATACGATACATAGGTCACCTGCACCGGTCCGGCCAGAAAGTCTATACAAAGTTTTGCTAAATATAATCTTTCCACTCCATCAAAATTGTCGTTATTTATATAGAGTTCTACACGCAATACAATCTCATTTCAGATACTCATTTATGTGGACGGTATGCATGGAGTCATGAATCATAAGGGGTGTATACAATGGCAGTACTCGTTGATTTCAAGTAATTTCCGGCATGTAGTCAAGACGACACTTAAGCTACTTTCTATATTCGTCGAATACACTGAGGGCAACAGTCTTCTTCTCATCGATGCCATGAACGTGGTTGAAAAATCCAACGGCAGATCTCCGTGGTACAATGTCATCAAAATTCTTCAAGACTTTGATGCATCGGATACGGAACTTCTCATATGTGCAACTAGTTTAATAAATTTGTGTTTAATAAATATACCAGATAAGAATACGTATTATGATCAAGTAGACGCCCTTCATGACCAAGGGATAGATGATATTATCCAGTTCTATATGTCCAGACAGGGCACGGATTTGGACCTTTTAAGGCAACTACATATATATGATGCAGTTTTGATATACGAAGATGGAATGGAGAGTGGATCAGCTGTGAAGTAATAATTTTATAGTTTAGTTTATAGTATATTTAAACGCACTAAATACGTAATAAGTACATGAATTAAAAGTATAGGAGCCGCGTGCTTTCAAAAAAATTATACAAAAATGATTGTGAGCGGTTTGAAAATAATAGTATATACAAAAAAAGATTTTCTAATGTATTGGTCGGTCTCTATAAATGCACTTAAACTCTAATATTAAAAACCTCTAAACAGATTTCGTGTTTGTTTTCATAAATATGAGACGTATTATTTGTGGTTTGTTTGTTTGATGAAAATGGGCTTGCAATTAAATCCTGTTAAACCTGAATTTTACCAACAAGGGTGCGCTAACTACATGTTTTATTAATTACTATAAATCTTGGCTTATAAACAACTAAACATTATGTCATGTATTTTCAGACAGCTGGATGACTCAATACTAAAGTCTATAAGGAGAAGAAATATTAACGTCACAAATGACTTTCGAAAATCTAAAAGATACCAAATGAAAGAGAAAGGTAATACTTCAGAGCATACTATTCGTTTGGTTTTTGCATGCATATAAAACAATTAGGAATAGATATCGCGTTATACCACTTAGAGCGTACCTACTTAATCTATTCAATGTAAATTATCTAATTGCACGTGTTAATATTTTTTAGTGTTCGATTATGGCTTAATAATTAATTTTTGCATTTTCACTAACATCAGCAGACCAAGGTATGTTATCTAGTTTGGAGTGTGAGCAGAAAAATATATATTCCTTACGAGCTTCGAGTTCCCCTTCGCTCCCAGAACGTAAAGAGACTTCATCTTTACGAAAAAGGCGAGATAGATGCGCCAGACAAGCGCATCACATTCAACAATTAGAGCTTCAAAGTAGCTCCAGTGAAATTATCAATGCCCTATTTCAAATAAATGGGAACAAACTCGAAGCTAGCAATGATTGCTTACCCAGAAATACACTTTGTAACAGCGGCGAAGAGAATGCAGATGACCAAGAAGGGACCACGACCCGGGACAACCTACCGGATGTATTAATTAATGGTTTGTTCGCTAACTAATCGTTGTTTGTGGAATGTTTTTGCTGTAATCATTTTAATGTCTGTAAAAACATCTAGTTCTGTCTAGTCGTTTGCTTCTGTATCAATACGAAAAGTATTAAGTCAAACACGTACTATTAACATATTATATTATGCCCTTATATAAATATAGTTGTCATAAGTCGAGCGGGCCGGATGGTATCCCCCAATTGTGCTGCGTACTTGTGCTCCTGAGTTGGCTCCGGTCTTAACGCGCCTTTTCCGGTACCTGTACTCGCTTGGCACTGTCCCGAAGTGCTGGAAAACCGCTTCGATACATCCGATCCCTAAAAAAGGCGATCGCTCTGATCCGTCCAACTATCGCCCAATAGCCATAACCTCCTTGTTCTCCAAAATAATGGAATCCATTGTTAATTGCCAGCTCTTGAGGTATCTAGAGGGCCACCAGCTGATTAGCGATTATCAGTACGGCTTTCGTCGTGGTCGTTCGGCTGGTGACATTCTTGTATACCTTACACATAGATGGGCAGAGGCAATTGAGTTTAAGGGGGAGGCGCTAGCGGTTAGTTTGGACATAGCGAAAGCCTTCGATCGGGTGTGGCACAGAGCACTGCTCTCGAAGCTCCCAGCCTATGGGCTACCCGAGAAATTATGCGATTGGATCTCCAGCTTTCTGGCCGATCGGAGCATCAAGGTCGTCATCGACGGAGCATGTTCCGACCTTAAACCCGTGAACGCGGGGGTCCCACAAGGCTGTGTTCTATCCCCGACCCTGTTTCTTCTGCATATCAATGATATGTTGCAACTTAGCAGCATTCATTGCTATGCGGATGACAGCACTGGGGATACTCTTTACACTGGCCGGGCAGGTATTTCTCGGGCAGTTGTCGATGAGTACCGGAACAAACTTGTGTCTGAAGTCGAAACTCTACTACGTGGAGTCTCAGACTGGGGCAGACTAAACCTAGTCCAATTTAACCCCAAGAAGACACAAGTTTGCGCGTTTTCCGCTAAAAAAACACCCTTTGTCGCTACTCCTCTTTTCGAAAACACTCTTCTTAAAGCCACAGCCAGCATTGGAATACTTGGCGTTGACATATCGAACGACGTTCAGTTTCGCGGTCACTTGGAGGGAAAGGCTAGATTAGCCTCCAAAAATCTTGGTGTGCTCAGCAAGTCGAGACGGTACTTCACTCCGGGCCACCGCATGCAATTATATAAAGCGCAAATTCGGCCCCACATGGAGTACTGCTCTCACCTCTGGGCGGGGGCTCCCCAGTACTAGCTCCTTCCACTTGACCGTATTCAACGCAGAGCGGTTCGAAACGTCGACGACCAATCCCTCTCCGAGCGGCTTGATCCTTTGGCCTTGCGTAGAGATGTGGGGTCACTCTGCATCTTCTACCGCATTTACCATGGAGAGTGTTCAGAGGAGTTGTTCGGATTAATACCTGCAGCTGAGTTTCGTCATCGGACGTCGGGGCAGAGTACGAAATTCCACCCGTATCACCTCGACGTCCGCCGTTCCACAACTGAGCGTTTTTCAAGGCAGTTTATGCCGCGCACCACCACTTTGTGGAACCAGCTGCCCACTGAAGTACTTCCGAACCAATTCGACTTAGGGTCCTTCAAGAAAAGAGCGTACCAATTCTTGAAAGGCCGGCAACGCACGCGCGAGCCCTCTGGCATTGAGAGTGTCCATGGGCGGCGGTATCACTTAACATCAGGTGAGCCTCCTGCCCGTTTGCCCCCTGTTCTATAAAAAAAAAAGTTATAACATCTAGAGATCACATGTTATTCTTAAAATTCATGTAGGCAATCGGTACCGATACATTTATGTCACACAGTGTCTTACGACACAATGCTAAAATGATATTACTATCAACAGGTAACCAAAGATATACATCGGGTCTACAACAGAGAATTGAAAACGGAACATTAGGTCACACTGTAAATCCCGTTGATAATTTATCCCCTAAGTGGAATAAATTTATTGACACTACAATACCGGAGAAGGACGATAGAGGAGTTCTCTTAAACAGGGAACATAGTATTAAGGATTTAGCGCAAAGACTGACTAGCCCAATTCAGCATGTCCAAGAAGAGAAACCGTTACTTGTTTCTGATATGGCCGGAATCGTTTCAAAGGCTAAAGAAGAACTGGCCAGATCTCAAACCAAGGGTAGGTTAATAATAAATGTATACCTACACATTAAGTTAATTAGAAAGGAAAGGAGTGCGGTGCGACACATCTGATAATCTGTACATCGATTCAAGAGCATAAAAAGGAAAAACATTTTTTAAATATAAACTAGTAACATCAAAAATGTTATTATTAATACATAATATAAAATTATTTAAATAAATATATACTATTATGAAAATTTCTAATAGAATTAAAAGTTACATTTGTTACTATTGAGTTGAATTTCAAGATAAATTTTGTATCTTTATAATGTCTACGTTATGATATTGTACTGTTTTTTTTTTAATACGATAAGTCCTCTCAGATCCTTAGTACGAAATGACTTCTATCAAACAAACATCTTTCAGAGATCGTTAAAACTCCAACTAAAGAAAAATGTCAAAAAACAATGGAATTTAATTTGGAAATAGTTTCGGAAAAAGAATTAAATTGGGACGAGGTGAGGAAAGCCTGTCGCCATCGCGATTTTCAACTATGTGATCTGGATTTCTCTGACCTGCGCGATGATTCAGATGACGAAGCAAAGTCCGTGGTGATAAAAATACAAAATGGACCGCCACCACCACCCCCAAATATGCCTCCATCATTTGAAGGTCCACCACCCCCACCAGTGTACGGCCTTAACGAGATAAAACCTCAAAATTTAAATGAATCTGATACATCCACCTTGAAGAAAAATAAAAAAACATTAAAACTATTCTGGAGAGAGATCCACGAAACCCCAGCACCAACGATGAAGGAAGATCACTTCATATGGGATGATCTTCCTAAAGTAGAAATCGATACGGCCATGTGGGAACATCTCTTTGAGACGAGGCCAAATGATATTAATTTTATGGTAATTAAAATTATTATTAAATAAACTATTCTATATGAATTACCTTGTTCCTAATTTGAATATTTTTCTTTTTTTCATGTAATCACTTGGATACCCAAAAATATAGGAGGTAAGAGAAATATTTGCAATTTGATTTAATTTAATTCAAAGCCTTTTAAATTGTTAATACATCAAAAATATTCAACTTTCTTTGTTAATAAATAACAAATCATATTCTTATTTTATTTATTATATTTTCAGAAAATTCAAGCAGAACCAAAGGAAAATCTAATTTTAGATAATAAACGCTCTACAGCGATAAATATAACAATGAAAAAGCTCCCACCACCCCAAACTATCAAGGCAGCTATTTTAAAAATGGATGTTACAGTTATGGCGCGTGAGTCTATAGAAAAACTTCTCACAATTCTTCCTACAGAAGAGGAAAAAATTAAAATACAGGAAGCGCAGGTTATTTTATAATAATTAATTAAATTAAAACTAAACGTGTTGTGCACAGCACGTAATACACGTAGTGCTCAAACTTCATTTGAATTCCATTCTCTTGTTTAAGCTCTCTTTGGGTCCATATGATAATAGCAATACAGGCTCAGACGTTTCCCGTACATCTAATTATTAGCAAAAGCAAATGCATATTTTATTTGAACTGTTATAGTTATACTTGTACATTTCATATATCTATTCTGTTAATAAAAACGGTATATGTTAGCTCCAATAGAAAAATTACAAATTATATGAATAAAAACAAAAAAAGTTGTAATGTTATCCAAAACAAACCATATGGTTCTACCACAATAAGTCCTAACTATGGTGGCACACGAACCCCATTACAACACGAACAAAATTACACCCCAGCTCAATCACGTGCTCTTATTTAATTAAAGTCAATCTTTGCACCGTCTAATTAAGGCTTGATTGGACCAATATATGTTGGAGCTATTTGTACACGCGGTTTCTTAACATTTATTACTTTTAGACGATACATTTACTTATCAAGGTCTGAGGCAGAGATTATAAGAGACAAAAATAAAACTAATTTACTATTTTATCAATTTCAGTACTCGAATCCGGACTTGCCTTTGGGAAGCGCTGAAAAGTTCCTGTTAACCCTCACATCCATTAACGAATTGTCGTCCAGGTTAAAGCTTTGGGTTTTCAAACTAGACTTTGATAACTTAGAGGTTTGTCAAACAAATATTTAAATGATTTTATTTTTTGTTCGTGGCCGTGCATATAGTTATTCCAACCTGGGTCACTTGAAGTCCCTTTATGGTAAACAGATACTGTATTATTGATATTTAAGGCCGTGCGTTAGTTACCCTGATTACCAGGTAGTAATGAGTCATTATGAATATTAATACAAACCAGCGGCGTTACAACCCTTAGAGTCTGTCCCCTTAGATTCATGTATCTGTTAGGTGACCAATTGATTTTTCTAATAGGCAAATAGATGATCAGCCTTCTGTGCCTGACACAAGATGCTTTCTTTCACTAGAAGGACAAGTAGTAGTTAAAAGCGTACATATACACAAAGTGCATCAGTGCAAAACCCGGGATGAGAGACCCACATTGAAGCCATTAGGACAAAACTGCTTTGTTATGAATATACTTTATATGCATGTATATATTCTTTATTCTATTTAGTATTTGTTATAACAATAAAATACATTTATTAAAAGGAGTAGTGTACGTCATAAAGATTATATGGTACCGCTAAATATTTTTACGTCTTGTCTACAGAAAGAAATTGCCGAGCCTCTAATGGACCTTAAACAAGGAATTGAATTATTAAGGGCTAACCGGACATTTAAGATAATATTATCAACGTTGCGAGAGGTTGGAAGTTTTCTTAATGGAACGCCAGTGAAAGGCTTTCGGCTGGAATATTTGACCAAAGTTGCTGAAGTGAAGGATACCGTTCACAAGCATTCTCTGTTGTTTCATCTCTGTGAAATGATAAAAAATAAATTTGAGGACACAACGGACTTGTTCAGCGAAGTAAGATATTGTTTTTTTATAAAAGCCGCTATTAGGCCACAATAAATTATAAAACTGTCAATAAGTCGTTACCTAAACACGCCGATTTAACTGATGCGAGAAATTAAATCTTCCGGCCCAGGGTTAAATTTGTCTGCTATTTTTCGTAGGATTCGGTCCTGTTTGTAAATCTGAATTTCATTAATGATCGCGTTGAAATCGGATTTGAGTATGATGATTGAGGCTTCCAAACACGTGTGCTTGTCGTAACTGTATATCTACATTTTTTTCAAATACTATCATTTATATCGAAATTACCCTTATACGATTGAAATCCATTGTTTGGAGCAATTGGAAAAACAAATTTAGGCTAGGTATGCCAAGGGGTGGCTGTAACATGCTGTAGCGTGATGAATTACTTTTAAGAAGTTATTTTCATTCAGAATCAGACTCATCATATAATTAAATATCTAAAAGTTTGTTTTATTTATTTTAATATTAAGCTGGGTCCTGTTATAAGAGCGTCGAAGGTGGACTTCGACGTACTCAGCAACAACCTCCTCAAGCTAGAAGCGGACTGTAAGGCTGCGTGGGATCACATGAAGCGGGTGGCAAAGCACGACGGCTCTCTGTATAAAATGAAAATTAACGATTTTATAACAGACGCTGCAGAACGCATTGTATTATTAACTAAAATTAAAAATCTCATTTTAAAAAGGTAAGCAACTGTTAGCAGCTTTAAGTAAGTAGAACTTGAGTAGTGAACTATGAATGCACTCTAAGCTTGCGAATGCTTGCGACACGATATAATGAAGCTGCAGCGATTTACATTATTTATGTACTGTGTAAAAATGACAAAAGAAAACAATGCGATACTGTTACAGATATGAAAAGTTTTTGCTGTACCTCGGAGTGCCACAAGTAGAGATACCAAATAATCGACCAACTGACTTCCTTAAAGGCATAGCCGAATTTGCCTTAGAGTACAGAACGACGAGGGAACGTTTACTTCAACAAATTCAAAAGAAGGCCACCCACCGAGAACGCAATAAGACTCGAGGAGTCATGATTATTGACGTAAGTTTATCAGTACAGAACACATTTTTTTTTCAAACAGGCTAGTGCATAGCACGCACTCCGGTCGTGATTGTGGGTTCAATTGGAATTTACGTTTTGATAAGAAGGTACGAGTTACAATATATTGACAACCACCACAATAATCGCCAAATGCGATATAGAAAAACACCTTATTTTCGTTTAAAAATAAAAATACTTATTAGGATAATTTTTAAGAAAATTAATATAAGGCAACTTAAAAAAATAACTTTGATTCTAGGTTACTAGGTATTCGAAACAGGGTGGAGATCATAGCGCAGATACGGCATTAAAAGAAATATTGAAGGAGCAGACTGTATCCGACATATTAGCAGATGGGCGCAGGAGATCCCAGAAGACGTGAGTAAACTATATCATAAAGCCAGCTCCGGGCCAACTAAAATTAAAAATTGTGAGAATAGTCCTACCTAGTGAATTAAAAAATGACTATAATATGGACTTCTAAAGTTCCGCAACTCTAAACTTTTTAAAACTACTATTCTTTCTTCTTTCTTGTATCCAGTTTGCATTTTGTATTCTGATAGTAATAAGTAGGTTTTAGCAAATTATTTGAAATACTTAAAGCATTAACAGCACGTCATTCAACTTCAACTAAGGATACTCATAATCATTCAAGGAAACCACACTTTTTACTAATTACAATAATTTAAAACTATCTCGATGCTTCTGTATAGGTATGCTTTAATGCAAGAACATTGTGATAAGTAAATGCGTAGTAATTTGGTAAAAGTATATTACTTTAACAATGTAGTATCCATCCGCAATGTATGTTAAACTTATTAAAATGTTTTACAGGGGCGACGATGCCGTTGAGGAAATTCTTGAAAGTCTGGTTCGGTCAGCAGCAATGAAAACCAACCCGCAAAGAGAACGACGAAGAAACAGACTCTCCGACCGAAAGAAACGTAAATAACCTTTATATATATAGTAGAACCTAGCTAACAAGCTATTGCAAATTTTATAGTATATTAACGATCTCGGAACCATGTTACATAAGCATAACTTACAATCTTTCCACTTACTTTAGCGGTTAACCCGTAATGATACTAATACTTCTCCTTTAAGATAAATAAAATTGCCGTTAATAGATATTATCATAATAATAATTGCAATAATATTATGGTAAGAGTTATGAGGTTGGTTATGAGGATCCAACCAAATTACCTTTTGATCTCTTAAAGCCCATCCACACGCTTGACAAACAATGGCAAACAGCTAACAGCAAACAGCAAACACGGACGTGTGGATGGGTGTTTGTCGTTGTTTGTCGTTGTTTGCCTGTTTGTGTTCGTGTTGGGCATTGTTCGGCATCGGTGTCGGTTTATCTTGCCAGATCAAAGGATGTTTGGCAAACAGTTTGCTACGTATCCACACGTTTGGCAGCGATCAGTATGCGCGCGAGCTTGCGGGAGGCGGACGTATTTACTTGCTACACTTTCGTTGGCGCGCAAAGCGTAAAAAAATTTCTGATTGGAGCACCTACGATTCTGACATTTTTAAGTAACTTTTAAGTAAAATTAAAAAAAACACGGCAAGGTAAAGCTCAAATAATAGGTCTAAAGCCTTGTACGCTTTCTATGTATTTTAATCATCCACCATCGTCTTTGCTTTCTTCTTTTTTTCCTTTTTTCTTTCTCTTGCTTTAATTTATAATAAAAATATGTCAACCCGAAAGTAATAGCTGCAACAAGCTCGTCGTCCGCCATGTTTGCCGATTCGGAATGTTATGAACGTTCGCCAAGCATGTGGATGGCTGTTTGTGTTGGGTGATTGTGGTTGGTGTTTGGGACTTCGTTTGCTTTTTGCGGTGTTTGTGACAAACAGCCAGCGTGTGGATGCCCCATTACATGGCAATAATACTTAAGTCGTAGACAAAATAAGATGCTTGTACTCATCGAGCCCTTGGATCAATCCCTGAGGAGGACACTGCGTGTTCAAATAATGTTTTTTGTACATACTTTCATACTAAAACTAATAAATTACAGTAAAGTAGATCTCTAAGTATACAAGAACTTTGCGAATGGTTAAATATTGCAATGCAAATGTATTTACCTCTATAACTAAAGTTTCTGATTCATAAACATCTCTAACTCAATATGTATGACAAAATATTTTTGTTCTATGTAAGAAAAGAGTTATCTACTTACGTGTAATTTTGTATTTACAGTTGTCACCAGAACATGGGAAATGAACTCAACGTAAAACATCTTTTTAGGTATGGTAAACTTTACGAAAACTTACAATACCACATATTTATTTCAACAAAAACCTATATCTTGATAACATACATAGGTTTGGTAATTAAAATAATAATACATAATTCAAGTTTTTCTACAAAAAAGAGCTTTTTGTTGACAAAGAAGCATTACTAAGCATTAGTTTTCATATATAATTTTGTTATTGCATTTCCATTTCGTGTACCTCCAACCAACTATAGAATATTAACCCTCTTTGTCTCTTTCTGTCAAATGTAAACATGTGTCATAGTTAAAACAAATATACTGATTTAGTTAAGTATATAGTAAAATGTAATGCAAAATAAGTGATTAAATACATTATATAAGATTAATTTAAGACTTTCGACAAAACATACATTTCTATAGTTATGATACCTAATAATAAATTAATAATATATGTATCGTAGTATACTTTTAATAAGTACCTAATGCTTGGGTATGTTTTAATCTAGTGTTGTTTTTTTTAGATCGAATCTATTTACAAGGCACGATGTGAAGGGTTGACATGTTGAACAAAAGACCTGATAAAACACAAAAAAGGCTTACATCAAAATTTTTTCTGTATCTTCCTTACGCGGATGGGCCAATATAAACTATTTATATGTTTTTAAACACATAATTATACCGAATTGAATTTGTAAAATCCCAGAGTTTATTAGAAATATACTCTTATTTTATTGTATAATTAACCAAATTTCCTGACATGATTCCCACTTTTCGTCTCTTCTAATGATGTTAATTATTTACATAACATTGTATAAAGTAACATATATTTACTATAGAATGTTTGTAATATATATGATGATGAATATTGAGTAATAACAGAATAATGAGAAAAGTGTGAATTTAAATAACGTGATAAATTTCTACTGACTGTAAATAATTTTTTTAATTGTAAAAAATAATTAAACGACTTCATTTTATTTTATTCTAATGTACTTTTTGATTATTATAGCATTAATAATTACATTTTAGGTGAATAAAGTTCAAGTGTAATAAAGAATCAAAAATAATATGTTCGTTTTATTGTATGTAGTGGTTTTTGTTTTTGGAAAGGAATTTCTCTCGCTGTTGGTTGGCTATAAGGGCCTACACAGATTAGCTTCGGACAACTCGGACCTTGGCTTGGGCCGTCGCGGGGTGGAAGAAGGGTGGGTGAAGGGCAAGACGGAAGCTCACTGGACTGAGTGAAGTACAAAGTTAAGCCTTACCCGGTAAAGTTGTGGCAGTTTTTTACCCTAATCTGATTTTATTTCATTTTGCCGCGCTGACAGAAAAAACATCTTAAGTGTGGCCATAGACGGACCGCATATTACAGTCGATACCTAAGCTGCTCTAAGCGGTCGCCGCACGGCGATCTGCAGTTTCCATACTAAATTCATATCCGCAATACACGGACCGCACGACCAGTTTCTGAGCGGTTGGAGCAGTCCCTCTGCGGTCGAGTTTCGTCGTGCGGTCGACTGCTTAGAGCTGCCGGACCCACGATACACGGACCGCTACAAGCGGTCGGTCGACATTGAGCATTTTGTTTCTTTCATAGCCCAAGAATATTACATAAAATGTTACTAGTGCCATCCCGCTCATAATGGTCTGATAGATTAGTTTTTGATGAAATTATATATAGCCTATAAAAAAATAACATTAAGTTTAAGTATAGACCACAGGCCCATGAACAAAAAATACCTGTGAAATGACCCAACGTGAATTACGTTTAGAAGGCTGTTACTGAATGTTATATTCTGAGTACTATGCCGTCATTTCTGAGCGGTACACACACAAAAATTTTCAGATACGAAGGAGGAATTTCGACTAATTATTAATGTACGGCTTTGTTATAAGTGTATAGATGATTAAAAATAAATGTCGAAAAACCTAGTGCCGTACTAAAGTGATGGTGCCGGAAGTCGGTGCAAATTTTTAATTCGACGATAGTTGCAGAAGCAATATAGGTCATTTATTACTGTACGGCATTTGTGTAATTCCTTTTGGACACATATACAGATACTTTACCCGTAAACGCCGTACATATTTCCAGCGGAGCGGTCGAAAGCCAAGGGTCGCAACATATGTCTGATTAGCATATAGGTGATGATGATATAGAACAACATAAAATTAAATGATCTTGAGAGTACTTCACAAATAGATAATATTTTCCAGGATGCCGTACATTTTTCGTGGAACACATACGTGTATGGGGTAAATTACTTCACTCTGAAAAGAGTCATTTTCCGGTGACTTTTATCTGTACGGCAGTAACACAGGTTATTAGTACTTTAGACAATCTTCAATAAAAGATAAGTGCCGTACACTTTCGATAGTCCGCTAGTCTATGAAATGGCAGATTATACCACCGCCTACCAATACAAGGCGTCCCAAAGTTATGGGACATGAAGGGAAAGTACCTTAAATATCGTAGATAGGGTATTTTACTAAAAGAAGACTTTATGTTATTTTTAAAAGTAAGTAATTCTGCATTCAAAGATTTTCTAAAAATTACTTGCCTCGTCTGGGAATCGAACCGACTTAAATGTAAAAAAAACACCCCTAGTTTTATGATGCCAATTGCCAATCGAAAGAATGGCTAAAAACTAATACTCGTGTAACACACGTGAAAATAAACCTAACGCGAGAAAATTTATTATGACTTTCGTTGTGGGCTTACTCAACAACAAAGCTATGATAGAGAGTTTTATCTATTTCAGGTATTACCTATGGAAAGTACATGACTATGATTTTCAACTTCGCTCTAAGAGCGTCACTAGATAATACGTCTTTGGCTTTAGGGCCTAGACTAAAACATAAACGAACGCTTGGTCACGTGACCATTTCCATAGAACTTTGTTTAGGGTTACTGTGTCACGCATGTCGCATACTGCATAGTGACTTTGTCTTAGACCAGTGCAATACTAGCGCTTAGCGCGTGCCGCGTTACTGCTTCAACATTGTTTGACTTTGATGTTTCAACTTTCAACCAATTCGGTTCAGCCAGTTTAAATAGAGATCATTTTATAGCTAACTAGCATAATATACCATTTCTGGCTTTTACTAAGGTAATTTAATTAAGTGTTGTTGTATTAAAGCTTTACCATATTCGTTTATTACGAAGTTTCTTAGAATCTCAATCAATCTCTGTTTCTGTGTATTTGGAAGCCACCGCCTACCACGCCCATAGATTCTTTTATCTTCTGTATAATGGAAAGTTAATTGTATCAATTTCTTGTTGGCAGGTATTTTATAAGAAAATGTCGTCTGAAACTCAAAATTACTTTGCAGGAAATGCAACGTTCATTCAAAAAACTTTAACGCCGTTTGTTTCGAAAGTGGGAGACTTCTCGCCATTCTACATAGCCGTAGCAATTTCGTCTGTTATTCTTGGATTTATACTGATTTTGAATTTTGTTTGTTGCTGTTCAAGATACTCTAATTACTGGCTTGATAGGCACACAGGTACTCGTATTTTTTAATTCGTACCACAACATATTGATTATGCCTTAATTTCAAAACACTTGTTTGATAGAAATGTGTTTGTTTATATTTTAAAATAAATTCAATTAACTTTTTAGGGAACCGTTGGATCGTGTCAATTTGGTCCACAACGCCTCATAAGCAACCACCTCTAGATTTCACTGAGCTTGACCACGACTTTGTTCCTATACAATACACATCTTACCAGCCCGAAGAATACCAAGAAGTTCACAGGCACGACATTGAAGTAGCCCCTTCAATATCCAGACAGCCACTCACTACCTCACAAGAATATCTAGAGTTACATAAGAGAGAAAGTGATATATAAGCATGGCGTTTCTAATGATCTATCCTGCAGTGGCTGTACTTTCTCTATTTGTGTTAGTTGTTATAATAATAATGCTTAGGTTTGGAGCAAGCTGGTGCAGGCTTCGTCATACAACTTTTAGTGACCAAGAATATTGGAATGAGGATGAAGCATATGAGCAAAAAGTATCATATGCCTAGCATGTAGCTATTACCACCGACATTTTTAATCTCTTCAATTCCGTCCATTTGAGACTTAGGTATAAGATTAACATACATTAAGATTGCAAAACGCGCATTTAGATTTTTTTACTTATTAATGATAATTTTAAACTTTTGTATTTTTCTTATACAAATAAATTATATCTTTTAAACTGTTTTTTTTTAATAAGTAATGTATACATTTAACAAATGAATAAACCAAATTGCATACACATAAATAAACATGATTTCTAAGCATATTTATATTAAGGATTTATTTACTGGTTCACCTTTAATAGTTTACTTCAATAGTTTTACTTTATGCAGCAGAATTATCTATAGATAAAAGAGAAGCATAAATAAAAGAATTAGTTTATAAAAACACTTGTCTATTTAATTAAAACCACTCCATAAACAATAAGAACATAATTTTATATTATGTACACATAACAATCAGTTATTCTGAATCAATGGATTCCTTATGAACATGTGATATGGTGCATTAATTTTTCACGCATAATTATTGCTGTCACCTTGTACTTTCTTGGTATTACTTGTCTAACATTTACAAACAAATTTATTGCAACCACTTCAAATATGAACTCAAAATTTAATGTTCTTTAGTCAGATGTTATACTGAATGTATAATAAAATGAGTTATTCTTGTACAATAAATTTTGAGGTTGATTTATCAATATCATTTACGTCAAGCAAATCTAAAAAACTGGCTCGCCATTGTCTTTATGAAGAGTGCTCTACTAAATTATAATTCCATGAACTATATTATACAATAATATAAACAACAGTTTTCAAAATTACTGTCAGAATGAAAATTACAATACACAATGTACTGAAAAACTAATTCACTATTATTTAATAAAACGAAAATTAATTATCACTTATAGTTATACCTGACACATAAAATATAGTTCTTATAAAATAATATACACAATTTATGTCGGTTTCTGAGAATTAGCGGTACTGAAACTGTATTTGTTAGCAATGACTTGCAAAATTTCAATTGCACCACATTTCTCATTTTATTACAAATACCTGTCATATTTTGAGTTACAAATGCAATTGATATTTATGAACAAATAACTTCTTAATTACATAAAAATAATACATTAATTATATTAAGCGACAAATGACTTAAGTTTCTGCGATCACAAACTTTATGGTATCGCAAAATTAATTTTGCGGTATTTACAAATGTAAAAATTACATAACCGAAAACTGCTCAAAAAGGTATAAAACTTTTATCATATAAATACTACAATCTACGCAACTACCTTAATTAAAATATAAATTTAATATAGGTACTTAGTATTTGTTTAACTTTTTCAAGACACGGTGAAAATTATCACTTATTAGTATTGCTTACTCAGGTAAAATTTTGTGTTCATATAAAATTTAGGTATAATTCTTAACTTCTTTATAAAAATATCAAATCAAGCGCTGTTAAAGCGTGAATCTAAATATCTTCAAATTTAAATATTTTTCATGTCTGTACACACTTTACAGTCTTATCTGGAAGATTATTTCATTATTTCAGCGAGGACTTTTAGTAGCGAGTTTATTATTAGTTTTTCTGTACAGCATCCGAAGGCCTCACAATTTGCTGCAGTTTAATTTGCTATCTTCAATTTTGCATAAGGCTTGAAAGCGATTACTTTTATCACGTCATGTTAGCTGTATCTAGTCAGTCTATCTATATATTGCAATGTAAATGGTGTTTTTTTTTTCACAGATCGTATAATAACGCACTATGTACATAAATATTATGTTATTGAAATTTAACAATTATGAACAATTCCTTTTGAATATTTTGCCTATAAGCACACAAAGATTATTGCACAATTTGTTTCTATTGCACTAGAACAACGTAGTATATAAAAATATGACAGTATTTACTGCAGTACATGAACAATCAGTATTTATGGTGGAGTAGATTCTATCAAATCCATACCGAATTATTTGTATACATGGCTATTGTAAAGCACGCAAAATCTACGTTTACTAATACACATGATTAATATAAATAAATATGTATGCAATAAAACTAGCCGCTTACTTCTTTATAATTATTACAAAAATACTAAACGAGTTATAAAAAGCTTATAAAATGTGGCTTAAAGTAATAATTAAGACGCACGAACTTCAGCAAGTAAAATATCTTAAAACGAATAAAATACTATAATAATTAAATTGTATCGTAACAGTAGTACTACATGATATTTACAAATTAAAAAATCAAAAACAAATGACTAATCTGGATAAAACAAGATTATGCGCTTGACTGCAACGAAGATGCATTCAATTATTCTTGTTTATCTGGACCCGGCTTTCGTACTATGTTGTTACATATTTTAACGCTCAAGGGTATCCTGAATACCCTTCACCTTTACGCTGGGAAATTTTTGTATAAGATATACTTATTATATGAGAGATGGCAATATAAAAGAGGGCAAATGTAAAGTAAATAAAAATGTATGATTAATGTATGGTTCGACAACTATGTATGAAACCTAATTAAATTATGCTTAAAACTATTTACTTAATATATTCTTATTACAAAATTGCAAATTTTAACCCTAAATGTGACAATTACATATTTAAAAAAAAAGGTAAAGATATGACCTATCGTTTAATTTTAAGTCTTTATTAATTTAACACGCCATAACGTTATGATAAATATGTATTTCAAATATAAACCTGGGAAATAGGAGATTATATTATGTTTTCTATTACAATTTTTCTTTAATAACGTTAATTGAAAACTTTGACGTTTTGATGCATTAAACCCTTGGGAGAATATTCAGAAAATAAGTTTTAAAATTTAATATATTTTGACTTGTTTTTGTTTTATATAATCTCCACTTTACCTCCATCACTGATTACGTGATTATCAATAGAATTTGAATTATCTCATGAAGCGGATTATAATTAATATTAATTAGATCACTAATTAACAATAAAAAGGTACAAGAACTCTTTTTACTAAGTCCTACACCTAATTTTTAAACGATTTTTAGATAAAAGACTTTTGAAAAAAAAGCTTTAAATTAATGCCAATATTGCCATCGAATTTTCGTATTTGCAGTGTTAACGATATATAGCAACCGCATTATTCTAACCCACCAATAATTTTAAAAACAATTTATCATAAAACCTAATAAAACTAATAATTGCTAGTTTCTGATCTTCTCGCTTGCGGTTGCTTTATTCTATAACAAACCCTTACTAACCATACAGGTATATCGATGAATCAATGCGAAAACATATGTTATTTTACACGAAACTTAATTATACTATTATGAATAATTGGAATCAAAAACTACCCATGGTAACAAAAAAATATCACTAAAACGTAAAGTTCTTTACACAACATGTTAATATAATAAATGCTCCTTCTTAAGCCCGTTTTATGTTAACTCTTCTAAGTCATAATCGGAAGCAACAATAAAAAATGCAATTGTTTTAAATTTCTTCTTAACTTATAATTTACAACATTGTATTGAAAGAAAAATTTAAGCGACTGTCAAACTCATTATGAATCAATTTATTTTCTGTTTATTCTTAAGACTGTGAACGTATTTACGAGCCTTCTGGAATCGTTGTCCATGGGCCGCGGAGTCACTAAACATCAGGTGAGCCGTTTGCCCCCTTTTCTATAAAACTGGAAAATTATTTTGAAACTGCTAGCACATTAAGCGAAGAATGAAATGAAAAATGAATGAAACGGGCTCGTGATATTATTCGATTATAATCTAAGAGGTAGGATAAGGAGAGACGACGAGGCGGACCATTCGAGCTTGTTAGCGTCGAAATCCACTCTCTCATATTTCTTAACGTCAATCTAAATGTGGTCAAAACACTAACAATTTCTATCAAGTATCACAACTCCTGTTTACTTATTTTGAACTTTTTTACAATATTTTACCCTGTCAGTAAGAATAAGTCTAACTGTGAGTATATCTTTTGTCTAATAGCAGCTTTTATCTAGATATTAATGAAAGTGTGGACTTCGAAGCCTAATTGTTCCTTAAAGTCCTCCAATAATACATGTCAACCATCAATTAACAATATTAAAAGTTGTACAACTAATATCAACAGAAGCACCTATTACTTATTTACAGAATATAAAGCTGATAGAATCTATCAAATCTAAAAATTACGTTTTGCGTAAAGCGCCGAAAACGGTTTTAATATTTTTTGTACATAACAGCGTGATAAGCTACCCATTATGGATAAGATAAATAACATAGAAATCACATATCATTCTATATTGAATAAAAGCCACTAATTATGTATTGCTTGGATACACCTAATCTAACTTACACAATGGTCAGTATTATTGAAGGTCCTATTATTGGGGAATATAATATTGTTTCGATCCGATTGCAATAACAGTGATACCACCGTAAAATATATTCGACTGTGTGAAAGCTGACTTACAAATGTGATCGGACGGTTAGAAAGTTGGACTCGAATAAAAATTATCGTCCCGACAATATGTCTACAGTTTGATATGGTCAGCCGTACCGATGTTTGCTAACGTTTTCTTTATTCTGAGGGCTGTCAATCGAGCAGCTGGGTTCTGGTACCAACACTCTTTCATGACTTTAGATATTGCGGACAAGACCTGAAAATTATGCAATAGACATTACATTTCCAAACCGAACTGCTATATTACAATGTATTTCGCTTAGGTTCTAATCCTAGTAACTTAAGTCACCGCAATGCCAGATTAATTCAATAAGGAGATGTGTATGCCTATGTATGAATGTATTTTTCTTACCGGATCCGAGTGCCATCGATTAGGCACACTTGGTCGTCTCTTTTCAATGCAAACCACTCGTCTCATATCTTCCAAAGCTGGATCGGGCGAAACACAGTCATAATATGGTGGTTGATATTCTTCAGGCATACTGCCACAGCGACGCGCCATTTCCCATACAACCAACCCGAAAGAATACACGTCCGAGCGCTTGTAAGGATCGAATTGACGTGCGTCCATACTCTCGTCCAAGACCTGAAATAAATTAACCAAAAAAATTCAAAATCACCATTAATGATAAACTGCAAGAGAACCCATAACTGAATGTTTATCGCCGTTTGTTTATGAAATAATTTATATAAGACGGATGTATGATAATTCGTAAGTTATTCAATATAAGCTTGGTAAACAACAAATTGTACCATTTCAACAGCTTCTATAAATAAATATTTAATAATAACTGAGGTGGCCTTTGTGGCGTTGTTTACGTAAACAATTGACGCAATCGCTACATAAATTTATAAATTTTCACAAAAGGAAATTTCCTCTGACCTTTAAGTCAATAATAAAATTCGCATGAGTTGGTAGCGCATTGTAAATTACAATATGTTTAACATAGGGTCACCCTTAATAAAACATTCGCATGTAAAGGCATATAATACATATTTACGTATTAATAAACATTGACAAAGAGACACCTAATAGAACAATGCCACATGCACCATTGAGGGGTGCGTATTATTTATTTATAGCTGCATCAACTAGACGATAACAAAAAACAAAAAAAGGTAAGAAACAAGTTACACAAATTATAACCAATGTGTGGAAATAATAAGACACAGATTTTAAACAATATATAAGATGAGTCCAGAATATTGTTAAAAACTTGTAAAGAAACATAGCATCCAGCGGTTCCCTACGACAGTAAAATGGCATTCAGTTCTAGTGCTTTAGACTATCGCTATACGATGGGATTTTTTGCCAGTTTTTCTTTAAAAGACATGAGCCAAAGAAAACGCCTTTCCACACTTTTTTTGTGGACTTCATAGTTGGTTCCACAGGACACTACAGTATTCCAGAATACTTCGCACAAAAGCATTGTATACACCTAACATAGTGCTAGATTTTTTAAAAGCATTCCAGTTGCGTAATACGAAACTCAGGGTTTCGGGGGATTTACATAATTGAGATCATTTCATTATATGTTAGGACAGGTAAATGCAATTCAGTCGCAGTTTAGCTGATCACATTTTAGTTCTATAATAAAAGTTTTGCCGAAGCGTATTCATAGTTAAAATTAATTAGTAAAATACAATAAAAAAATATGTTCTATAATATTATATATGTATTTTTTATTTACAAAATAAAATGTTATATGATAAAAGAGGTGAATATAGTTAGCCTTAGATAGATTACATTTGATAAAACATATAAAAACTCACTACCGAAACTTATATTAAATAAATTTATTAAATCGCCAATGCCTTTTAATTTTAAGTAAAGTGCAGATGAGCAAGCAGAACATTTTGATTAATTTAAGAATATTCTTACCTCAGGCGCCATGTAGCGTTTTGTGCCGACCCGATTAGTCGATGGGACATCCACCGAATCACTGGCCACATTATGTCGCACAGCCAGCCCCAAATCTCCGATTACGCAAGATAGATTACTTTTCACTAAAATATTTTTCGATTTCAAATCACGATGAGCGATCGCTGGCTTGCCTGAAACATATACGTAAATATTGTCCTGCGAATTTGTAATACAAAAATTATGAGCCCCTCAAACACTCGGCTAGTGGCTTGGCGAGCGACTCTAAGTTCGAACCTTGGCCGAAAATCATTACCAATGCTTTTAGTAAACAATTTTTTTTATGTTGAAGTTATGTAGAAATGTTGTTAATTTAACTTGCTTGTATTTAATTCTGAATTAATCAAGCCATATCATATGAATCCTTGTTTATACAGACTTTGCTAAAAGCGACTGAGTCCACCTTAAGACACAAAGAAAGAACAGAAAGTCTGTATTTAAAATATATAAAGGACTTAGGTCGTTGATTTTTTCAACATCAAAAATCTTATCTTATCTTTTAAAATTTACCTTTCGTTCCAACGATGTCCATGTGTAGATGGGCTAGTCCAGTTGCAATAGATAGAGCCATAGTTACTAGTGTGTTGGAGTCAATGGTCCGCAGAGTTAGAAAGTCAAACAGCGAACCATTCTCATGATAGTCAGTTATCAACCACAGTTGAGTCCAAGTGCCATTGTCTGTAAAACAATAAAATTATGTGATATCGCGTAAAAATCAAATTTCATAATTTCAGATTCAGTCTGTCAACAGTAGGCGCGGTGACATACATTCAACATAGTGGCAACACCCAAAAATTACACTTAGCCAATATCAATACATTGACTCCTGACACTCACATTATATCCCGCGAGCTTGCAATCTATACAGAGTTATAAGAGGCAGGGTCAGTTCCGCAATACTAAAATATTTAAATAGTATTAACGCGTTACCCTGAAATAGTCTTTATTTAAATTTACAAATGGCAATTTGGGGAAGGCTAAGCGTAGTGGAAACTTACCTTTATTATCAGCTGCTATGAATCCGAGAATGTTCTCGTGACGCAACATAACCGTCTGGTAAATTTCTGCTTCACGAAACCAAGAGCATTCTTCTCGTGAGGAGAAAATCTTAACAGCAACGTTTTCCCCACGCCATCGTCCGCGCCAGACCTCACCAAACCGACCTTTACCGATTATATCCATCAATTGAATCTGCCTTGCGATCGAGCGCTGAACTAATAGCGGTAGGCCTAAAACCAAGATGTTAAACTTTTTGATATCAAAACCTTAAACAAAAGCTCAACATTGCACTGACTAATGAATTAAAAAATAAAACAAAAAGACTTATTGTACCTGATCCGGATCCAGACGTCGTTAGTTCGATCATATCCCGAATGGTTGTTTTGATCATTGGATGACGGGAGTCACAATAGGAATCTTCGGCAGTGTATGGGGGCAGAGAATGGCCCTTCCGAGCAGGTCTCTTAATCAACCAAACGCTGATTGCTCCACATATCCCAAGCACCGTAAGACCCATTATCCAAGGTATTACTTGCCATGCTGTTGCTGATGTCTCTGTTGCTTTTATTTTAGAATTTCCATTAGAATACTTTATTTAACTTAACTCGATTTTAAAGCAAGTACAACATAAGTGTATGCTAATTTATTTTGACATAGTCAGACATTGGGACAGACTCTTTTATTCAGTATGATCCGCTCCATATTTATAATGAATACATTGCTACGTGTTCTTGTAAATAAGTAAACTTTAGAATCACAACATCCAAATACGTCAAATTTTTAGGACAACCATATATAAGCAAACAAATACACAATAACTCATAACTCTTTTACTTTTTTTTCTTCAATACCGTTCTCTCAAACTCTTTAAAAATACCCAACACCATTAATTAATAAATAAACGGTAAACATATTTGGGATAAATTAAGAATAATAATACAATTTCAAACAAAATATATTCATTATTATCATCATATCATTCATCATAACATGCTTAATAGATGATATGAATTTTTTTTTATTTAAATTAGGTGTAAATCCTAAATGACGCATTAGTAATAGGATATGAAGAAGTCCAAATTAAAAGCAGTCAGAATATGCAATGCCATAAAATAGTGCTAACGTTAGTAAAATATATTTAAAACCATGCTTAAAATAAAGAATAACCGGCATATGATCACTCACGATATAATTATTCCCAATAGAAATAAGACAAATCGAACAATGCACGATTGAAACGGGTACCTGCTGCATTTTCTCGACTGCATTCCGTCTTTTGTTTTAAAATATACTGCCATGAAATGTAAATAAAAAATAGATATTATGAAAAAATTTATCGCCGTGATTTCCTGGTTTTGGATTTTTGATGTGAGGAATTTTTTTTATTATTTTATTATAATTTTTTCATATGGGCACCAAGTAAACAATCTTAGGGAATTCCTTATTAATGTCCCAATTAAGAATATGGAATGCGCAGTACTAAATAATATATCTCATGCGATGAAATTGCCTGTTATTTAATGACGCTATACTTTCAGGAATAAATAAATAATGGCACAGTAATGATGAGTCTCATTAAACATTCATCTTCATTGCACCAACAATGCTTACGAAGACATAACAGTACAAAGCTACCCGGCTACAATAGGACGCCCGGACGAAACAATTCTAGCAATTCCATACCTGGAAAGAATTCACTATTACAGAAGTCCGTTGAGCAGCAAAATATATCGGAAGATTCCTCACGACACCAAATAGGTATATCTCCTGGAGGGAATATCGTGTCTTGGTGCCAACATCTATACCATAAATGAATACGTTAATTTACATATTCCAAAACTATGCGGTGATCATGGCCGGTAGACTATGAGAAGAAAATAATTAGTAAAATTAATATAAAACAAAATCAATCAGCCATGCTGCTGTGCGGTCAAAACCAAGCCCTAGGCGAGCCGAGTCAACGTCGAGTCTACGCGCAGAAGAAAATATTAATGTAGGCGTAGCAAATTGGCAGGAGATGGACATTTAACCAATAATGTTATTAGACAAAAGAAACAAGACGGTTTAAATACAAAAACATATTTTTTGCGAATAAGAATATTTGCAGCCTCTTTGATTACACCACAAATTGCTACGCCTACTGTATTAATAAGAAAAGAAAGCTGATTGCAAAATGAGCAGCACCGTGTGTGCACTACCTCAACCGCCTACCTGGTGGCTTTGACTGTATCTCCAGATGCAGCTCTCGATTGCACAAGTCATGAGAATTACAACATTGTATCACCACAGATTCATTTCGAGTTCTTGTTGTAGAGCAACTGAAGGGGTGCTCGATGGGTATCAAAGCTTTCAGCTCGATACAGCTGCACCACAAGTGGAACCACCATACATGTTTAGTATGTTAAAGCAAAACCAATGCACACTCAAAAATACTATTGTTAAAATTACACTTCATTCGGTACATACTAATTAACTGTAAATTTATGGGCCAGACATATTCTTAGTTGATATATATTCAAAATCCTAAGTCAAAAAGCATGTTTGTTAGAATATTGGCATCTCAACACAAAACTCAGGTAATAGAGGACAAGGCAAATATGCATTATGCTTCTATAATTACCACAAACAACTCAAAAATTTGTGTCTGCTAATAAATTTCCACACTCCCACAAGTGCGTAGAATGTCTTACCCGTTGAATCATGGAGTACTTTTGAATATATTTCTCGGTAAATCTCATCAGAATTGCAGAAATCTTTTGTACAGCAATAATTTCTTGAACCTCTGCATATCATTGGATAGACAGGTGGGAAGGCTTTGCCTTTCAAACAGTTTAAGGCCACCTCTCTACACATCAATGATTTGACATTGATTAAAATGTTGAAACTAGATTAAAAATGAACATCCTAACATATGTGAAATTTGTGTTGATCTTTTGCCAATTAAAATAATAACTAAACAGCTTTCAACAGCGAGTTTGAATAACTAGGTACAGAATCTAACTATTACTATTATGTAATAAATGCACTATTTTGCAATGTTTAAAAAGTCCCAACAAATGTTGATACCCGTTTTAAAAATAGTATATACACAAATTTTCTGCGTGACCTAAGCTGCAACTGTCTCATTTGTTATGAGTGCACATACAGTTAACAAGATATAACAATATTTACTCACTGGTAGGTATACTTTTGAATTCCATGTTCAATCATGGTGGAAGCATAACAAAATCCATCAGTTTCACATGTTGAGTTTGGACAGCTCGAACTTTCAACATTGCAATAGCACTTAAGACCTTAAAACAAGGAAGTAATTGTTTTTATTTCATCAACACAGAGTAAAAGAATATATATTTTCTTATATAAACAAAATAGTTATTTATTGTTTTTCATCATCACAACCATTAATTAGGTAGCAATATAAACCAAAATGGATTAATACTTTATAACTTTTTCAGCACTTATAAGAAAAGGATGTTTTGGGAGAACCCAATCTCTAATCTAAGAATATAGTTATAGTTATACATATGGGCATAAGATGCCTTAACACAATTACATATATGTAAAAGGAACTGTACTTACCATTTATTTTCTGGATTTTTTGACTGAAAGCTATAATTAGGATTAACAACAACCTTCTCTCATGTAACAGGTCCATGATTATAGTCTTCAACAAAAACATTTCAATTGGAATGTTTCACGCTGATAAACACTAAGCTCTTAAGTTACGCAGCTATTTGATAGTGGAGGTAGTATTTTTTGCATTTTGTTCTTTCTTCGATGTAATTAATATGTGTTTGAAATAAATTTTAATAGTATTAAATGAGAAAAACTACATCAGAGTATCAATGTAGGACGTAATTATTGATAATTTTTACAAATACCACAGAATATTTGTAATTGCTACACTGACACGAGAAATAATTGACAATTAACATTGAACTCATTGATTTTTTCACAAGTGTAAACTTAATAAACAGTTATGAATATATATAGATATGAATATTGAAAAGAATTGGCTATTGGCTATATTAAAAAAAATTATCGAATTGATAACTTCCTTTTGCGTTTGGGTTTTTTAAGTCGGTTCAAAATTACAATATTTAACACTCAACAGCATCTGGCGCTCAAATTCTTAATAAATTTGTATCCAGGGAATGATATTATCTCGCGCTTCGTCACGTGACCAGCAGTAGTAGGGCATCAAAATCAACAAATCTTTTGTAACTATGAAATGGAAATATGAAAAGTGAGCGTCGTGCGTTTAAGGAAGCATGTTTTCCAAAATGTATCCCTAGTGTATCAGTAGACTATCTAGATATATTTAAGGCCTATTACCATACCTTATATGCATGTAACTATTAGATCAACTTAAGAAGGAAGGCATATAGCACCATAATTACGGTATAATAATGCTTTCTCAAACGCCATTCTCTACGACTAGTTTAACAAGTGGAGCTGTTAATTGTATTAAGAATAACTTTTATATGTAGATATTTTTTCCCTTTTTAATAGAACAGGGGTTAAACGGGCAGGAGGCTCACTTGATGTTGACACTCTCAATGCCAGAGGGCTCGCGAGTGCGTTGCCGGCCTTTTAAGAATTGGGACGCTCTTTTCTTGAAGGACCCTAAGTCGAATTGGTTCGGAAATACTCCAGTGGGCAGCTGGTTCCACAAAGTGGTGGTGAGCGGCAAAAACTGCCTTGAAAAACGGTCAGTTGTGGAACGGCGGACGTCGAGGTGATAGGGGTGGAATTTCGTATTCTGCCTCGACGTCCGACGATGAAACTCAGCTGCAGGTATTAATCCGAACAACTCCTCTGAACACTCTCCATGGTAAATGCGGTAGAAGAGGCAGAGTGACCCCACATCTCTACGCAACGCCAAAGGATTAAGCCGCTCGGAGAGGGATGTGTCGTCGACGATTCGAACCGCTCTTCGATGAATACGGTCAAGTGGAAGGAGCTGGTACAGGGGAGCCTCCGCCCAGAGATGAGAACAGTACTCCATGTGGGGCCGAATTTGCGCTTTATGTAGTTTCAAGCGGTGGCCCGGAGTGAGGTACCGTCTGGCCTCGCTGAGAACACCAAGGTTTTTCAAGGCTAATTTAGCCTTTCCCTCCAAGTGACCGCGAAACTGAGCTTCGTTCGATATGTCAACGCCAAGTATTCCAATGCTGGCTGTGACTTACGTATATGTAATATTAGATTATATTATGTAGCTTTAGATCAGCGTTGCCAGACGTCCCGATTTTGGCGGGACGTATTGTACGGGCGGGGAGTATCGTTTGAAACGCTATATTTTTCTAATAAATAAAACTTTTTTTTATTTTGATTTTTTCGTTTTTAATCAGAAGATCAATAAGAACTATTTAACGATAGGTTTAATCTGATTTAAATACATTTTCTGTGACTATTTTCGCTGTCTATTGTCACGCAAACGTGATTTGAACTCAATTAAAAACATAATTATTTAAAATCTTCTGATTATTTAAAATTTTTTACTATGTCCCGCTTTCGACAAATGAATCCCGCTTTTTTCACTTTAAAAGTGCCAAAATCCCGACTTGACTAAAAAGAAATCTGGCAACGCTGCTTTAGATACTAACAAATATGAATGTATTATATTTATTATAAAATTTTCTTGCTATCGATAATGATATTGTTGAGGCGATAATCTAATTCTATGTAAATTTGGCATAGGTGATTTGTTAAAAAACAATAGTAGGTACAAGCAAACTTAAGACATTTGCACGCCTACTTTGTATTGCTGTTATGAGGCTCTTGGGGCCAGAAAGAACTATATGTTCTACCTCGAGAGTCTATAAAAATACGCGGTATGCAAAATAACATAAAAAGCAAATTATTCAACATCTATCTAATAACTCTCAAGTTAGTTTCTAAGGATTTGACTATTATTAATTTAAAGCCGAAAATGGCTAATTAATCAAGAAGGTATAAAACTTTATTATTTTGATATCTCAAATATTGGGACTGCAAATTACAATGATAAAAAGTAACATCCTTTCACTTTGTTCTAGCGGACACTAATTTTGTTATAAAACCTTACCGTTAACTTAAAAAAACTTTAACGTAACTTTTGTAATATGACGAACAAAACTCGTTTCGTTACGTATACAGTCGTGTCTACTACGTTCATGGGTCCAAGAGGAATTCGACGGGGATTATTTTGCTTTCAAAATATTGTAAGTGGCCTCGTTAATATTATGTTTAAAATTAACGATACATAGCATGCCAAGAAACTGCGGCCCGCGTTCAATAAACTCTGAATGACAGTTGGCGTTTGACATTTGGCACATTATAAATCACGATTCTACGATCTAATAGCAGTTTTCGATTTTTATTGTAGTTCTTCAGTATATATTATTGAGATTATATTAGTTTTCAATTTTCATTAATATTTACTACGTCAGTGAGATGTATCCTACAAGACATAAAACAATTTTTTTATTCGCTACTATTCGATAGGGTTACATTAAAATATATATAGCATATGAGTGTTTAACATGCTTTACAGTCCCATGTAGATCGTATTCAGTTCAGTCTTGAATTTTCATAGCTATAGTTGACTGAGAAAGGAAGTGCAATGAATTCTGTCTGTTACAATGGGGTTAATGATAGACTCATACAAGAAGCTGATCAGCTAATTTCTTATATCGAACGTGGTTCTAATGTCTTTAAATTTTTTCCGCGAAAAAGACCCGAACGACGTACTCTTTTAGTGCGTCGCGAAACTCATCAAGTAATTTGGTGCAGAAGTGGATCAACACAGAGGCATTCTTACGAAGGTGCCTTAGACATACGCGATATAAAAGAAGTAAGAATTGGTAAATCTTCAAAAGATTTCGAGAGGTGGCCAGAGGAAACAAAGAGACTAGAGAATTCTAAATGTTTCACAATTTACTATGGAACGGAATTCAAATTGCGTTCGGCATCTTTTTCAGGTGAGAAAATATTAAATAGATTATATCAATAAACAGTTTTTTTTATTGTATTAAAGAAAATAAGTCTCCTTACCACTCCTTAAACTTGTTGACTTAGCTGCCCTTCAATTTTATTTAATTGATATCAAATTTGAGGCCATCCCAGGGTTAGAAGTAGGCCTAGTATAACCTAGATTAACCTAACCCAATACCTCCATATTTCTAAGTCCATATAGGTCAGCTATATAGGTATACTATAGTCAACTTGAGTTGCGTGAAAATGATTTACCTGTCTATTGTTAGCAAAATCAGTTTGTTCTGTAAATAAAACTAAATTTTTAACAATTCTTGATGTAAACTTTGCTATTTTGCATGGTCAAGGTTATGAATGCAATTGTTTGAGTTTGCCTCTTGGCAAATATACTGTTTTGAAATTCAAATTAGGTTGTTTACATTTTAGCTCAGATGGATAAAGAGGTTGAAGCTTGGATAAAGGGAATAAGATTCCTTATTGAGGAAGCTGTGAATGCATCATATCCATTGCAAATTGAAAGGTGGCTAAGAAAAGAATACTATATAATTGAAAATCCTCATGAGAAGTAAGTCGGCCAACAGTGTTTTGCATTGTTAACAGCGTTTTGCATTGTTAACAGCGTTTTGCATTGTCTTAATATATATTTTATAAGAAGTATAAAATATTTCTATTTTTGCAGTCAATTTACATTTCTACATTTTCTCTCTTAGTTTATATATATATTTATTCAAAAAAATTGATGTGTATTTTAAATAGGCCTAAGCTAGTAGCTTAACATTTACAAATCATTTAAATTTATTTAGCACCACTGAAGATTTCTGTATTACCTTAATAAGATTCCATGATTAATTTTTACTGTATTTTACATTGAGCTATCTTTAGTGATCAGTCTCTTCAAATCTTACAACCATGGTATTAGAATAGACTATAACAATTTGCAGATGTTAAGTACTAGTGTAAGCCATGCTGGTCATTTAAAATTACTTGAGTATTAGATGTGTGTATAATTAAAACTAGAAAATCATTGTGGTTTACATATTTTAATGTTCCTTTTATATATGTTAATACTTTTGATTTTTGTTATAATTTTTAGAATCACTCTAAAAGAAGTTAAAGCGTTTCTGCCAAAAATTAACTGCAAAATATCAACAAGCAAACTAAGGGATATTTTTCAAGAAGTTGATACAAGCAAAAAGGGAGAGATTGGTTTTGATGACTTTTCTATTCTTTATCACAAGTTGATATTTGATGAAAATGTAAGACAATTTATTTATTACTTAAATATGAAAGTTTACATCTAATCAAACATTTTTTTTCTACAGAATGTTCATGATATATTCAATAAGTATTCCATATATTGTACCAATGGTACCACAATATCCCTTCATGAATTTCAAAGATTTCTTCTTGTGGAGCAATATGATAGACTTGGTGAAGATGTGGGATTGACGTCACAATTTATCAGGGAATATCTTAGAGACCCCCAGAGGGACATACATGAACCATATTTTACACTTCATGAAGTAAGTTTACATGAATCCATTTCATATATGTGTCGAAACCACCATTTGCAGTCAGCATTTTAATTAAATTGGTTTTTTGTGTAATGTTTTCATATTAAAATAGATTACCATGAGCTTATTCATCAGGATATCACTAGTTTTCGTAAAGGGACATGAAAACTTTAATGTGTATAACATTGGTTGTGTAGATGCAAAATGTATGGATATTTTTTCCACAGTTCATCGAATTGTTATTTTCCAAACAAAATACTGTTTGGGACAGTGCACATAATTTGGTCACGCAGGACATGACGAGACCTCTTGCACACTATTGGATTTCGTCATCTCATAACACGTACGTTTAATCATACTTTAGTCTCGAGTCTGTGAATAAAATTGTTTATCATTTCGATGTAATTTTACTTTAAAACATTTTAGAAACCTATTGAATAATTAGAATTGGTTGACAGTAATAACTACTGCCGCATTTTAGTGACTCGAATTTCGGCGAAACGACAATTTCTTTAGGCGATAATTACATAATTGCTTTAAAAAATTATCAAGATACAAATGAAAATTTGTGAACGGGTACTGTTAGGGAGTAAAATCTTTCTATTTGCTATATTATATATGCCCTTTTATCGCTTTATGTGTAAAATTATTTGCAGCTATCTGACTGGAGATCAGTTTTCAAGTGAATCCTCTATTGAAGCGTATGTGCGTTGTCTGAGGTCTGGTTGTCGGTGTATTGAATTAGATTGCTGGGACGGTCCAGACGGAACGCCCTTTATATATCATGGTCATACTCTGACGACGAAAATAAGATTCATGGATGTACTTAGAACAATAAAGGAGCACGCCTTTGTCACTTCAGACTATCCATTGATTTTGTCAATTGAAGATAATTGCTCATTACCACAGCAACGGCGAATGGCGAGCGCCTTCCAGGATGTTTTTGGGGATATGCTTCTAGTACATCCATGTGAAAAGAATGAGACCTGCCTACCGTCGCCGCATGACTTGAAGAGGAAAATTATTTTAAAACATAAAAAACTACCTGAAGGTGCTGAAGAAAATTCATTTGCAGTACGTCAAGAGGAAGGAAAAGATCTTGATCTGAGAAATACTATCAAAAATGGAATTCTTCTTCTCGAAGATCCCGTTGACAAGGAATGGAATCCTCACGCTTTTGTTCTTACCGAGAACAAACTGTATTATACAGAGCATTACAGTACTCCAGGGGAAGCGGATATAGACAGCGACGGTGAACATGAGAGTGAAACGACCAGTATACCACCAGACGAATTACATATTAGTGAATGCTGGTTCCACGGCAAATTAGCTGGCAATAGGCAAGAGGCCGAGGATCTTTTGAGGGCGCATTCCCATCTAGGCGATGGCACATTTCTTGTTCGGGAAAGTGTTACATTTGTTGGAGACTACTGCCTTTCATTTTGGAGACAAGACAAAGTGAACCACTGCCGTATAAAATTGAAGCAAGAGAGGGGGATAACAAAGTATTATTTGATCGAAACTGTTTGTTTCGACAGTTTGTACAGCTTGATAACTCATTATAGAACGCATCCTTTGCGTAGTCAAGTAAGTTTTACATTGTAACTAGATGCGTGTGGAGCAGACACGTATGGCTTCTTTGGTCATTTTTATTTGAGAAAGTAAGTGATCAGCCAGGTCATACATGGTCGACTTTTGGGTCGACGTCACGTCCTAGAGGTGGCAGTACGACTTTAAGTATGTAAATCGCATGCTTAACATCAATATACGTGTGTGTTTGCTTTATAAATGTTAACGTAAAATTGTAAACACCGTTAGATTGTAATCTATCTCGCGAGATTATAAACTGTCGAATGATTGTGAACCTCAGCGTACTGCTTACAATTTAACGTATTATTATTCGGTAGATTGTAATCTATCGAAGTGAAACCGTCAAATTGTGAAACGGATCGCAACTCGCGCGCTGATTGGTTGAACGGAAAATGCCCCGCGCCACCATATTTGTTTGTTGTCGAATGTAACTTGATTGTTTTGATGAATGTAAATTGATTTCGTGTTGAAAGTAACTCACAGCTTTAGAATTAGCTATATGAAATTGTTGGGAAGAAAAATTAATCTGTGATTGACCAAAGAAGTTTGAATGATAACTAAGTTAGTGTTGGAAATGAAATGAAAGAAAATTTCATTACGTGTGGCGCGGGGCATATTCCGTTCAACCAATCAGCGCGCGAGGTGCGGTCCGTTTCACAATTTGACGGTTTCACTCATGTGGTATAATAAATACATATATGCTATTTTTAGGAGTTCTTGATAACATTAAAAGAGCCGGTTCCTCAGCCAAAAAAGCACGAAGGGAAGGAGTGGTACCATCCATATTGCACACGGGCCCAAGCAGAGGAACTATTACGCAAAGCCAATACAGATGGCGCTTTTCTTGTAAGGCCTAGTGAAAAAGAACACGGCTCCTATGCAATCACTTTCAGGTTTGTAATTTTAGTAGATTTTAATATCTTCCAAACGTCTTAAAATTTAAACGAGCTATACTATGATTCAATTGTATTTTTTATATAACTGTGTCCTGTCGTGTTATAATGGGGCTTCTAAACGGGCCATGTTTTGCTGCAATTGATGTTGGCAACTAATTGCCATGGCCATGGCCATTACAAAAATATTTTAATGCAGCTGATGGCCGAACAATCTATGGCTGGGCAATGTGTTGCAATATGTCTGCAATAGTATGGCCCATGATGCAGACTCCTAAACGGGCTAAACAAATCGGCAACAATGGCTGACGAAATCACACTTGTCGCAGCAGCTTATATTGTTTTGAAAAAGAAACAGAAAAATAAGAAATTGTGGATTACTTAAATAGGCGTGAAACTGTAGACAATTTGAGTCTAGAAATAAGCCTTGATAATAAATTATTCAAGAACTAGAATGTCAAAAGCAGTCATTTTTACGTAGTAACCACACGTCAAAATGCAGCTGATCGCAAAACACAGAATATAGCAACAGGCACATTTCACTCATAGCAAACGTCATGTCGCGTAGAAAAGGATACACTGTGCCATAACAAAGAGAGTGACTGAAACAACAATAGAACTGGCTGTGCAATATTGCAGTTGAATTCGATAGCCTAGCGATCGTCCGGCAACCCATCGGGGCAACATCGGCCATATGTGGCTATACAAAACATGTTTGGCTATATGGCCGGGGCATTCCTGCAATATTGCATTGTGTGGCTGCTATTGTTTGCAATGTTGCCAGGCCACAGTGTTGCAACCATCAATTGCAGCAAAACATGGCCCGTTTAGAAGCGCCATAATGCGATCGTCCGGCAACCCATCGGGGCAACATCGGCCATATGTGGCTATACAAAACATGTTTGGCTATATGGCCGGGACATTACTGCAATATTGCATAGTGTGTTGCCGGGCCACAGTGTTGCAGCCATCAATTGCAGCAAAACATGGCCCGTTTAGAAGCGCCATTATATAACCTATAGCAACCTCAATAAACGGATTGTTCAGCACAAAAAAGAAGTTCCTGACCGATCTCTCGTCTTTAACCAGAGAAGCTGTCAAAAGGAAATTATTTTTTATTGATATTCAACTTTTATTAGCCAATAGTTGTAAATTGGTGATAAATTTTGTTTATTGTAAATTCGGTTTAGTAGCTTTACAATTGCAAAGATTTAACTAAAGTTCTACCCAATTAGACAAAAAGAGACGAAATAATACATTACTTATAAGAGTGTATATTTGAAAGATAAGGACAGTGAACTAAACTTTGTTGACAAAACTGTATTCCTAGGCATAACAATAGATAGTAAACTCCAGTGGGGTCCACACATTGAGACTCTTTTGAATAGGCCGAGCTCTGCAGCATATGCAGTAAAGAAAATCCGACAGTTTACTGATAAGGACACGACTTAAATTGTGTATCATAGCTACTTTCACAGCGTTATGTCGTACGGTATTTTACTGTGGGGTACTGCTGCAGAGGTTCAATCCATATTTGTCCTGCAGAAGTGGGCTGTTCGGGGTATTTGTTGTGTTTTTCCAAGGTAGTCGGTACGGAATAAGTTTAAGGAATTAAATATTATGACACTATCTGGTACATATATTCTTGAGACCTTGTTTTATGTACAAAACATATAAACGATTTATACAAATTGTGACTTTCACCAGCATAATACCCGAAACAGAACTAATCTAAGCGTACGACCAACCAGGCTTCGTTTTTACAACAAACTTCCAAGCGAAATTACATAATTATCACTGAATAAATTTAAAACTCTTGTTAAACGTAAATTAATAAATAAAAGTTTTTATAAATTTGACGATTATTTAAATGATCCTAATCCTTGGGATTGATTTGCTCCAGTTTAAATATTTATGGCTGCTCTGCCTTACAAACAATTGGAATGTACTTATACTCAAAACTTGGCAATTAAAAAGAGTTGCGAAGAGCCAGTTCTTCTTGCCCGCTCTTCTGGCCCGCTCTATGCCCTTGACTTGCGAACTGGTAGTAAATGTAAACTTAGAGTTAATTTAACATATTTTCTGTTGACGTTTATAAGTGTACTTGGTTACCTATGTGAATAATGTTATTTTGAGTTTGAGTTGAGTTTCACAGTATGAAAACAAGTGTTATTAAGAGTAAATAAAACATGGCTTTAAAAAGCGTTATTAAGTAAAGGAACATGTAAATAATCATTAATTTATCAAAAGCCATAGTTAAAATATTTTTTATTCGTCATTCACGGGACACAAAGCAGTCGCAGGTATCATGTCTTCGTCTGACTGTCTTGAAGTTGGCGAAATAATAATCTGAAAAATCTTGTGAAACAGCTTATTAGACTAAGTTTTCTTTAAAAATCTCTGCGCTTTATAACATTAGTAATTGTAGATATAAACGGCAGTGACAATATTTTAGGACGGAAAGGGAGATAAAACACTGCAGGATCCGACAAGAGGGACGGTTGTATACAATTGGTACCGTCAAATTTGAGAGTCTGGTAGAGTTGGTGTCGTACTATGAGAAACATCCTTTATACAAGAAAGTTAAACTTTGCTTTCCGATAAGCGAAAACATTGTTCGTCGCTTGATTGCTGTAAGTTGTTTTTTCAGTAAATATCCATGTCGATTTTTCTGAAGACTTGTAAAACAAGGTTACACGTTTTGCATTTTCCTTGATTTGTTTTTGAAAGGCTATCCGCCATCAGCGCCTACTTATCTGAATTATTAGTACTATATACAGTATAGCACTGTCTTGCTTCAAGTTATTGCTGATGAAAGAATCGATATTTTTATGTAGTCGAATATTTTTAATAATATCGTTTTTAGGAACCGGATGATAGCTCCGTATATGGAACACCAGGGTACATGGATCCTTCCTCGTTTCCTTCTAAGGTAATAGTTGAACTTTGCTATTTTTTTGTAATGTTTACATTATTAACACACTTCTTCACTTTCACCAGACATGCAAAACGATTTAGTGAGGTTTTACGATTTTGGTGAGGACTTTATGGGTAATTAGGTAGATAGGAACAGCCTTATATTGCCTATATGCAGTATTTATATTTATATTGTATTAGTAATAAAACTCAATTGAACACAGCTTGTTACCGTAGTTTCTAAAAATATTTTTGCTAGAAAGATTTATTAATGGTGTTAATTCTTATGGACCGGAACTAGATCAAGTATTAGTTTTAATAGTTATTTTTTTTTTCGGAATATTTTGATTAAAAAAAACTAAAAAGTTTAGAGATTTATCAGAATTATCACCAATATTGCTATTTTATTTGCAAATCTTGCGGTTTTATTAATTATGTATTGCCATAGTTTGGTAGAATCATCCACGATAGTTAGATAACGAGAAAACGAAAATCAGTTACAGCTTCGCAATATGAACCCGTTAAAAAAATCTTTTTCATATTTAAAATGAATGTATACCTATGTAAAAGTTATTATTCAAATTACCTTGATAAAATCCTGCATAGATATAAACTTGTATTGATTTTCATTTTCGTATGAGGTTTACTGTAGTTAAATAGTTAGGACTTTTGGTCGAATATAGTTGCTTTAACCCCCATTGTTTGATACACATATTTAAAATTCATATGAATTACAGATCACAGTAAAAGCCCTGTACGATTATAGAGCTAGACAGGACGATGAATTGTCGTTCTGTAAACACGCGATAATTACAAATGTGGATAAACCTGATGAAGGTTGGTGGCGTGGAGACTACGGCGGCAAGAAACATCACTGGTTTCCCGCTAATTATGTGCAAGAGATTGAAGTTCCTCATATGCCCAATATTGTGAGTTACAAGTTTTTGTTCGCGTCTGAATTACAGTGATAAAAACGTATATATAAACATCGGTTTGACGTTTATATATTTATTCTTTCACGTAACAATTATATTTTCAGGCGTGCCTTGAAAATGAATCCGCAGCGCTTGGCTCATTACAAAAAGGCGTCGTCGATGTTTTGGGCGCCGTAGTTGAACTCGTTGTTGGCGAAGAAAGTGGATCCGCGCGATGGATTGTTCGCATCCAAAGCCCATCTATGTGCGCTCCATTTGACATGGCTGCACCGACCAGAGAGAATGCCCTAGAGTGGCTCTCAGCTATAAAGGAAGCAGCCCATAGCGCGAGTGCCCGCTCGCTAAAGCATAGAAAAATGGAACGAACCTGGCGTATTGCTAAAGAAATGTCCGACCTCATAGTCTATTGCCGGTCAGTTACTTTTAACCAAGAAAGAATACGCAATAAAGGATTCATTTTTAACGAGATGTCATCGTTTCCGGAAACAAAGGCTGAACGGCTCATGTGCTCCCAAGAGACTGCGTTCTTTATGAAATACCACGCCGTGCAGCTTAGCCGAATCTACCCCAAGGGTCAAAGAATCGACTCGTCGAATTATAACCCATTAGCATTCTGGAACGCCGGCTCGCAAATGGTAGCACTGAATTATCAAACACCCGATAAAGCGATGCAAGTCAATATGGGAAAGTTTAAAGAGAACGGTGGTTGTGGTTATATTTTGAAACCGGAATTCATGTTTGACGAAAACTACAGCCCATACGATAAACGGTGTATTGAGAGTAAAGTGAGGCCGATGACGGTGAAGTTGCGTTTGATAGGGGCGAGGCATCTGTGCAAAACGGGCAGAGGAACAGCGAGCCCCTTTGTGGAAGTCGAAATATTGGGCGCAGAGTATGACAGCGGCGTCAAATTGGTCTCCAAGACTGTCGGTATGTTTTCTGCTTAATTAGTAACATTTATAGTATACAAGCTCTGTGATTCTGTAAAATACTTTAGGTTAATATAGGTATTAACACACATTTTTATTTTTGCGAATTATTTTCTTGAAAGAAAAACACCGAAATACTATTCGTAATACCATGTACGACGGTGTCGCTTAACATTAGGTGATCCTCCTGCCCGTTTGCCCCCTATTCTATAAGATAAAAATTTGGTCTCGAAAATCGTACTCAGATATCCAAATCCTTTATAAATATCTCTTGACATCGAAAAATATTATTGCACTGGTGTATTAATTACAGCTGATAATGGAATAAATCCAATATGGAATGATATCTGTGAATTCGTCGTTGGGAATCCAGACATGGCATTAATTAGGTTTGTCGTTCAAGATGAAGATGTATTTGGCGATCCCAATTTCGTTGGCCAAGCTGTGTATCCCCTGAAATGTCTGCGTACAGGTTACCGATCGGTAACTTTGACTAATGGTTATTCTGAGGAGCTAGAATTATCCTCACTTCTCATTTATATATGTATGTCATAATAGTAATTCTCGAATACCTTTGCTACACTTATGTGCGTACTACATGCATACAATAATTGTGAGAAACCACTAAAATTTCCGCCGTTATTATTAATGGAGTTTTAAACTGTCAACTAGACTATGGCATAAATTTATACGTATATAAGTATATAACACTTTTTTATTATAACTTCATAAAAAAAATTGTAAGGTATAGGAGCTAGATGATAGCGAAGCCTAATGGTATTTTAACAGACATTTTAGAATAAATTCATAAAAAATTAATATCTAATTGCACCGTTAACTTAAGGTACTTTATTCAACACACTAAAATTTGACAAAGACGATATACACAAACTATAAATAAAACTTTTTTAAATAGTAAATAAATTTAATTGAATATATTTTGTAATTTATTACTATTATGTCGACCAAGGCCTCCCCCAAATATCGCCCAATTGTCCCACACTGGTTATTCCATTCTATATTCTTATGTTGTCTTACGCCATACCTGTCTTCCCTTACTACTGTTACCTTTGCCCATTCTTTCTGTTCTCCTCTTACCATGTGTACCCACCCACCCAATTATAGCCATTTCAGTACTTTGACTCCCCTTTCTATGTTCTTTTGGCAAGAGACTAAAGATTACTTAAAATAGCGCAATTAAACTGTTTTTCTATATGAAATATTATGTGTTCGTAAATTTGTTATATTTAAGTGGTGATCTACGCATTTTTTATGTTATAGCAATATTTGGTTCTGCGATATAGAATACATGATTGTATTAATAGTTTTATTGTTATATATATTATGTATTAATCCATTGCATAATAGAAGATATTATCTATATAATGTTAGTCTTTCTAAAACGCATAATATTTTTATGTAAGTTATTTTAGGTCTAAGTTCACGTTATTTAAATTGTAATTCTAAATAAAATGTAGACTGATTGTTACTGACATAATAAAAAAATATCAGGATCGCTGCTTTCTAAACAAGTGGCTATTATACGTAAGCTTGAGACGCTATAGTCAAAATTATATGAAGAGTTACTTCAAAATTTTTGTTGTCTAGAAGCCAAGCGAAAAACTAGACAACCCTGTGACCGACAAATGTATTATTGCATTTATTTTTTATCATACTATCCTTTTGTCTACTGTATCTTTGATATAGTGCCCGGTTTTAGTGTATGTATTCTTAATAAACAATTTTTTAAATAAGTGGTTTTTATTTCCTACTGTGGAGCCGCGAAATCTTTTAAAGCTATTGCGACTCAATATTTAAAGATATGTTACCGCGAAGTTTTATGTGTGAACGAAAGTTCCATCGTACATTTTTGTAATAACAGAGCGCACGCTCAGCTCAATAAGAAGTTACGATTTTTGCAATATATTTCATTGATGTTCGGCTAAAGTATGGATACTAGAATCGAATATATTTATAATAAGAAACAATAAATCTTCGTTGTGTAATTATTGAAATTAACTGTCCATTCATTTTTTTGTACCAAAAGATTAAAGTCTGACGCAGTTGGTCATCATAGCGTTAACATAATTTGAGACATTAGTTTATCTCAAGTGTTTTTTATGAATAATGGGGTCAATGTTGTTTTTTCTCGATTCAAATCTAAATGTTTCCTTAAAATAGTTTCTGATACAGTACATTAATTACCTATTTACGTAGAATTAAAACATGACAGTAAATCTTATAGGTTAGGATAAATACATTTATATTTAGTAAAACATGGAATATAAGAAAAGAAAAACATTTATTTTTCATGCTTTTATTTAAAAGAGAAATTACACATATCTTCTACTACATAGACATCATAAAATGACAATTTTTATCCAAACTTGGGATATAAGTTACGACTACAAGAGTAAACTGCAATAACACATCTACTACACCTCATTAACTTTTATTAATGAAAATTAAAACTTACAACTACGGATGATAAAACTTGTGAACAATCTATAAATAAAATTCTTACAAACTTCATTGTATGTTTGATCTGGTTTGACCAACATGGAATGTTTGTGGCGTTTGTTCAGGCGGCTATGGAAATTTCCGGCACCTATACAATATTCAGACACGGATGTATATAATAAAACATATATTACTTGAAAGCTAGACATGAGATCATGTTTTATATTCTATTGCATTCAGTTGGCTATGTATATACCAATCGACTATTATCGTCTTTATAAAACACATTATTTGAATTAATTTACATTACATTTACTTTAAAATACATTTATGCATGCAGTTTAAAAAAAATATCATATATAAACTATATAAGAAAAATAAAAATTCATTGGAATAAACTTGAGTTATACATTTTTTCAACACGTCCAAATGACATTGAACAATATACCGTGTAAATTAAGTGAATTTTAAAATAAATTATCCATACATGTACCACGTCTGATAGGGCAGTATCGGGGCCATTTGTCTGCATTCGAAGCAGTTCTCTGACCCTGACATACCCTGTTATGGGCTGGGAGGGGTGACTTGCATCAGTTCAGCGAAAGCTTGGTCCAAGCAGTGCTTTAACTCAGCGTACGTCACGAGCAAAACGCTTCCTTCATCGCGAGTCATCAAACCCACCTAGAAATATACAATATATTGAAATTGAGCCCTATTTGAATAACTTTCATAATTTAAACATAAGACCAGTTATACACAAAAAATTACATTTATTGGAAGCATTCCACTGTACCGAAATTTTGCCACAATTTCCCAGTTATATTCATAACTACTACTACTTATTTTTAATTGTCTCTCAACGGGACTCTTAAAATAAAAGACCCCAGGTTTCGCTTTAAGATCAGTCACTTAATTATGACGTTGAAATATAATTGTTCAATTACACTTCGTTACTTTTAGTGATTTCTTTACCAAATAGATGATCAGTCAACTCAATCAAAAATCGAATAAGGAATTCATATCAAAAATATATTGGATTACATAAAATATTAAAGGAATATATTAACGATAATAAGCGCAAATTTATTACACAAATCGACATTTATTGACACCATTCCTACCTCAAACAAATTTAAGTTAATGCGGAGATAAAGGTTTATTTAAATTGGTTCGAATAAAAAGTACCTGAATCTCAGTGCCACTGTCAAGCTGGTTGAGACAGTTCGAGACATGAGATAAATCAAGCCATGGTCGGCCTTCAGTAGTGACCGAGTGGAATAAATAATCACGAAACAGCTTAAGCAAGTATCTGTTTCCTGTCTCTGCCCATTTATGGTCTCTATTGAACCTGGAAAATAGTAATTGTTTAGTATTTATTGTTAAATAAATAATTTTATTTTATAATATCAAATCATTCTTTACGGATGGGAATACAAGGAATCAGAGAGACTTAGAGGGCAAATGTATAGGAAATAGGAAATCTTTAAGGTCTACATACATTTTCTATAGCATTTAACCAAATTATGTTTTAGTATAATTGCTACCGAGAGACAGGCGAATCGTCTTGACTGTTGAGTACAAAACCCGACTAAATAAAAAAAATGCTAACACAGAACTACTGTACTCTTAGTACAAACTGTGCCATACATTTGAGATATTAATTCAATTATGCTAGAACGATGTTTGTTTCGTTCTTTCGTTTAGTAATAGAATGTTTACGACTGAAAATTTTCCAAACACAAATAGTGCTATAATATTAATTATGAAGATTTTTGTCTGAGTGCACTACGCTGTTAGTCATAAACTTAAATTAAAAAATGTTTCAGGTATTTATTTACGAATTAAGAGATTTAATTTTATTTATAGAATTGAAGTGAAGCAGATCTGAGAAAATCTGCTTATCGAATCAAATTTACATATTAAGATTATATTAAAAAAATATTAATTCGATTACAAAAAATATTAAGAAAACACCAAAAAATTGTCAATAAAATCATAAATATGTAGTTCTATTTCTATACATACTCGGGGCGTTCAATAATAAAACATATTTTCATCAACAAACGTAGCATTCGTCCATTATCCAACTCCCTAGCAAGATGACTCTCCAGAATATCTGTACGCCGTTCAAATGCCTCTACCTACAATATGGATTAAAATATCAGTCAAAAATTGCGTGACAAGTATTACGCTCCCTTACCTAAAATAATTGAATTTTAAATTAAAAGGGATTGAAAGACTGTAATTATCACATTATAATATTCTATAAGTAACACCAGATTTTGTTAAAGCTGTTAATCAGATATTGGATAGTGCAATGTAAATGGATGCAAAATAGGAGATGGGTGTTTGAATTTAAGCGAGAACATTTCATTTAGAGTGAGATTCATAAAGATATCGCGAAGCATGGCTTCTGTTTGTCAAAAACAAATACATTTTTAACTTATTTACTAATACATAAATACATTAATAGCGCTTTAGCTTAACAAAGAAATTTAATTATACACTTTAAAAATAATCACCAATTAAAATAATTCATTTTACCTGAGTGTAGAACCTAGCTCCAATCATTGGCATGAGATCTGTAACGGAGCGGCGCGGAGCGGACAGTAAATAACTAAAAATTACATTATCATTATAAAACTTTTAATTATACTACAACAAACATTTTTGATAAGACTTGTTAAAAACATTAATATCAAAATCTACATATTATCACAAACAATTGCATGCATACAGTTACATACACAATGGAATATTAGAAAATCAAATCATTATTTTTTTAAATAATAACTATTACTATGGCCTAGTCATAAATCGTAAAATACTTACATAATTAGGTTTTTGAGATCCACAGAGTATGTCCTAGATACAAGTTCTATGGACAAGGGCAGGTTGTCGCAGTGAATAGTGCGACATGCAAGTGCCAGCGTAAGCCTGCCCAGGGCTGTCAAATCGTCTTGCTGAGCCTAAGTTTCACCACATTATTAAATATTTTACATTTTTAATTAATATATAATTAATAAATTAACTTAAATTTTCACTATCTTTGATCATGATCTGGAGGAAAATGTACTTATATTGAGCAATGGCCCTCAATTACCTCAAAGCAGTGAACAGCCTAATATAAGATAAATTTTAGATCCATTTTTGAAAATGTTACAAAAAGAAAATCGATTTACTGAAAATAATATGTGAAACAGAAACAGACCATAAATAATTTTAAAGATTTCAATTTAATTTACGCAACTATTGATCATTTTAATTATCACATAAACATACCTGATTAATATCAATTTCATTAGCATGCAACGCGTCTGCCACACCGCACCAAGCTATGCGGATTCTGCATCCCATTGTCAAAACTTTAGTTGGGTCCAAGGTTCTAAAGTTGCAAAACAATAACCTTATGTATAACTCAAAAATCCGAAGCGATTTTTTTTTTAATATTATAAGTTATCGAATTTTATAAATGTTAAGTCTTTTTTAATATTTTCTATACAAGATGTATAAAATATATATGTTAAACAATAAATCAATAATAAAGAATAAAAACATAGAAAAAATTAGCTTAAACATTTTCATTTTCAAGTAATGGACAGCACAACTCTTGTGTATGAAGGTTAAACTGATTATGTTAATCTGTACCTCAGGACTTCTGGGGTAAATAAATTAAATTCGTTTATTTTGTAAAGACTGCAAGTGTCAGAATCAAACAAAGAGATTAATGTCATTACACAACAACTGTCAAAAATTTCACCTGCAAGCCAGTCCAGCTGCATGAATGGCTCGCAAACCAGCAGTTAGTTGGACCAGAATACTCCACAATACAGCTTCTGGGAGTAGAGAGCCACCAGCCACAGCTCGCAACATCGCATTTTTCTATAATTTAATTGTTGAGATAAGAATTTCAATTTTTTATACATTCAATAAAGGAATTCAACTCAAATTCGAAATTAAATATTGTAAGTTTAAGCAAACATGCATATGTATATTGTTCGGTCACAGCTTATACCTGGTGTGTGTAGGGCCTAGGGGCATCTGGATCAGATGAGAAAGGATCATGGTATGAACCATTACCAGCACCATTGCTACCCGGGGTCCGACCATCCAGGTATCTTTGCATCAGAGTAACTGATGCTGGGTGATAATCATAGACAATCACCATGGCTGTAAAAAACATCATTCTATATTTATATCACAACTTTGTTATTTTTGAAACTTGTTAAACCATGACTTATTTCTGATAAGTTAGACCAGAGTTATAGCATATAATTTTTGATTTATGTATTAATTTATATAATTAAAGTTTATGATGGATTCTTTTAAATTGGTAAATAGTGAATACTTAGACAATAAAAACCATACTCACTGGAGTTTTACAAGGGCAGCACTTTGTTACACACAAGTTGTTAGTTAAAAATACTTACAGTGGTCCCCGAATGCCCTTGTAGTAAACCAATGGTTGAGACGTATTATATTAGGATGATCAATCTGTTTCCATGATTGAAAACGCTTAGATGGCACTGTCCCATATGAGTGCAAACGACGCAAAGCATATTGATCACCATGGATCCTATGAGTGGCTCGAAAAGATGTGGTATTTGAATGTGGGGACAACTCTTCCAGCGGTAATAATTCTGTATAATCATCCAGGCTATTAGGTAGATCTGCAAGATCAAATAAAATTTAGAATTGCATTTTATTTTAGATAAACATAATATTAAATAACATTTTTTGTCTACTCACTTTGACATTGGCGAGCATTTGGTTGGGTGTACGGGTCTTGAGCTATTTGCTGCATTTCAGAGCGAATTTGTTCAGGCATGTAAAATGTATCACCCAAGCCTGCTTACAAAAATTAAAAAATATTAACATTGTGTAATCATTATTGATAGTTGTTAAATATGTTTATAACGAGCAATTTCCTTAAATAATAAAGCAAGAGTTATTTTTTTTTAATATTCCAACATTGTATTTATCAAATAATAACAATTTCAAGGAGAAAAAATATTAAATAAATAAGTATATTGTAACTACATAATATTTGCTACTTTACAACATCAGAGTATATAACATGATACTAGAATAGGATTTTTCATGCAAAATAAATAACAATACTGCATATAGCTTGTGAAAGTACTATGGCTAACTTAAAAGTAATGCAAATTATCAAAAACTAGCCTTTTACTAAGTCATGATTCCCAGCCATTATAAAATGTCACTAACAATTTTTAACAAACTTACTACTAGTATTCTAACTAATTAGGTGTAACTTTAGCCAACTTGCAATTTAACTAGCAATAAAATAAATCTGTACCATGATATAAAATATAGCGATTACACTTGGTCATTAAGATAATACATTGATTAATAGAATAGTAATTATTATTATGATTTTAACCTGGGAATGTTAAGATGCTCCAAGGAGCGTAGTATGCTGCACCTTTGATCCCCGCACAATGAGATTGGCATAGGCGGGGATCGTCAGCAAAGAAAATCCCTTTAAGCCGAATTTACTTTTAGACACATTAAAGCTGGTCTTAAGACAAGCACTTAATGATATGTTCTATATTTATTTTAAAAAAGTGAAAACAAAAAAATTAATGACAGTTAATAGTGAATTAAAAAAATTATGTAGCAATGAAACATTCATAATGAGTGATAGCATGGCAATACTTTAGATGCTCAACAATTGTTAAAACATTCCATTAAACATGAATGTGATATGAATAGTTTAAACATCTACAATTGCACTAGTCAAGTAAGAGAATAAAAATGGATTTATAAAAGAAATGTAAATTAAGACACCCTAATAATAAATAGAGTAATGGTGAAATATTGAGAAAAGTCACTGACCCTGTATTGGTGATGCAGGTATAGGTGCATACATTTGTGGATATGCCATGGAGGGGACAGCCATGTTATGTTCTGAACCACCTGTGAATAATCAAGATTAATATGATACTCAGCTTTTAAAATCAAGAAAATGTATCTTAATGAGTTATAAATGTATTATTTATGATATCAATCAAGCATAGTTACCTATCAAACCAGATGAATTAAGTCCACCTGAAGTATTGAGAGACGCATTCACATCATTTGTGGGATAGAAATATGTTGTACCACCAACATTTTCCTGGGACAAAATAATGGATATAGACACCTGACACCACAATTTGTTTCAACCAATGTTGAGATGTTTTGGATATTTGGATTTTTCTGCCTCTTACTACAACATTTCATAATTACTATAATATCAAGCAAATAATAATATCATTAAATATTGTATATTAATGAATCCCTCAATATAAAACAAAATTCTTTTAGTTGGCAAGGAGAAATGAAAATTTGTCACAAATTTACATTGAATGCATTTGCAATTCTAGAAATTGAAAACGTGTTTACTGTTTAATCAGTTATTAATAGATAATTTGTAACATACCTGATGGATTTGCGGAGCAGATAGGTGAGGTGGTGTATTTGATGGTGATTCTGGAAGCATTGCTACTGATGTATAGTATTTGATTGGAATACATTCTCCAACATAAACCTATTGAAAATTTATATGTTAATAAAAGAAAAATCAATAATATTAATATAACTTTTAATTTCATTATTTGTATCAGGGAATTACAACACTTACCTTTCTAGCAGATGGTGGAGAAGATTCCAATGTGAGTTTATTATATGACTGATTTAAAGATCTTGTAGGTGTAGAAATATTGTTCCGGTTCTAAAACAACAACTACTTGATAGAATAGAATCATAATTTAAAAGTAAATTGTAAAATGCAAAATGTAACTCACCATATAAGTCATCAACTTTGACTCCTGTGGCAGAGAAGGTGGACTATATGGTAAATAAATTGATGGATCCATTTTTCACTGAGTTTAGTGAACTGAGAAATTTTAAACATTTATATATAAAGCCTTTCTCAATATTAAAAATCATAGGCAACAAGTAAATACTAGACTATGTACCTGTATAGGAATAAAAATGTCTTCAGCTCTTTCTGTTCTAAATTCAAAAATACCATGCGCTGTCTTCGTTCATTTTCAGGACATCGAAACGTATATAATGTAAAATATGTTTAAGTTGTTGTTCCCTGGATATGAATGACAGTAATTTTATATCTCAAGCGATCAAGATTAATGCACAAAAATTATAAATCAGAAATTGTAGTAAAACTACATGAAATCTAGAAGCGGGTGGTCCTGCCTATTTTATTAAAAATGGATCGTCAACTGTAAGCACCAATGTAAAAACTGGTCAAAAATATTTTGCCTAAGAAATACTTGTGAAAAGAACATTTATTACCTATTTTAGAATAAGATTAGTTATAAATTCGAAAAAGAATGAACTACTTACAATGTATATGATAATAAGACACGAAAACAAATCTCAATTCCCAAAACAGTGAATAAGGAACAAGCACTATGGATCAGGGTTGCCAACTCCTACAAAATGTTTCCGCTAGGATCAACTTCAAATACCCCTAAATGTCGATCAAAAACCCATAGTTTTTGTTATACACTTGGTTTGAGAGGTAATTTCAAATATGAATTAAAAATACGTTAAAGTATTAAAAAGCAGAAAATAGCTGTTGTATTTATGTGAGTACATTTCACATATTTATATATGTTCATCAATAACCGAATAATATTAATGATAATAATAACAATGAGTTTATTTTTGGTTTTGTTTGTTGATTGCATTCGAAGCTTAATATAAATTTTATTGAATCGTGTGTGAAAAAAAATCTTGAATAAAATACCCCCTAAAAAATCCCCCTAAATAAATGTACCCCCTAAAACCCCCTGGACATCTTGATTGCCCCTAACTTTGAGGGGGAAACCCCCAAGTTGGCAACACTGCTATGGATATGGTAGTAGGGATGCTCGATATTGGATGATCATCGATGTTGAAAGAAAAAAAACATCGATGTTGCTATACGAAAAATATCGTACATCGATGTTAATGGAAGCGAAAATCGATGTTAACTCACGGCCAATGCAACTTACGAAACAAATTATGTCTTCTATGAACGCATCCAGAAAACACGTTTATTAATATTTTTAACGCGTATGCATTCACTGCGCACTGGTCGTTCCCTTCGTTCATTCTTCATCAAACATCGACGTTGGGCTTTCGATTATGACATCGATGTCAATATCGATGTTTTTCTAATATCGACACCCCTAGTCTACATTGCCAAAGACAATAAAAGGAAATAGACAAATCAATACTATGCCAAAGACAATTAAAGGAAGTAGACAAATAATTGTTATTAAAACAACAACTCATGTTATTACAAATTTTGACGTTGAAGTTTGGATCTTAGGTTTACATAGGAAATATATTTAAAAATATATATAGATTAAAAGTTTTTTTTTATGTATTTAGGAAATAAAGCTCTCAGTACTAGCTGTTGCTGTTATTTCTTTAAATAGTAGTAAGTAATTTAAAAAAATAGGTCTATATATTTTATTCATTAAGCTGATAATTCATACATGTCGCAATTAAGCGCTGCATTATTATAGATTATCAAATCGTAATATTACAACATACAGCGCGAATAAGATTACATTTTCCTAAGGAACAAACTATCGATGGAACATCCATTCGGTATTTTTTCGTCGTAATTTTATTTTATGTCGTGCGTATAGAGTAGTAACCGAGTGAAACAGATGTTACAATATTTGGAATCTGAATGTGATGCAACTGTAAAAATCGACAACCTCCAAATAATCGAAACGCTTCTATTGATACGCCATATGTTAAAAATTAATAACGTCCTACGTAACTACATGTGGGAATAGATAAAATATTAATTTCGATCAAAAATTATACTTTACCAAACATTATTGTACGATCCATACGTACGCCCATCTTTTTAGTATAATTTTCATAATCTATGATTTTCGTAGTAATTTCACGTGTAGTAAGACAATTTATTAACTAAGTATACGTTTATATACATAGTAAATTCTCATTATTAGAATAGTTTTCAGTATTTCTTGAAGTAGTTTTTTCTAAGCTTTTTAACATGCAATTTGGTTTCTTTTGCTATAAGCGTCGGCTAGCGACATGCAAATTAATAGTCATAATCATTTTCCATGCACATTTTTAAATATCCTAATAGTAATAGATAGTTACGTATTTTAACATGACAATTAAAATATATATATCTTTAAAGTTATATTTAGATATTTTAAATCGCGAGATCGGTTTTAATAATTTACTAAAGATAAACAAATAATGTCATTTAAATTTTAAATCACTTTACGTCTCAACTTTTTGGGTAGAGACGTACGAGGTGCTACTCAGACGCATGATGGACGCACGATGGAGTGAGGCGTATCCTTAGTAACGTATTTAACGTTACTAATGGTAGGGGAGCCCAAGAGGGGATTTCGGGATTTACTAAAGCACGGCAGATTAATATATAGGGGGATACCTTGTACCCGGTTAAGTACCTCCACAAAATATGAGGCCCATATATAAGGCCGCCCGTGAAGGAGACAGGATCAGATTAGTAAAAAAAAATTGACCATCAGAAATTCCCGAGCGCGTCAGATTAAGGTAGGGTGAGTTAATTACATCCTAAAAAAGTGTATATTCCACTAATCTGACAATTTGAAAGTGACGTAAAAAAAAGGGGCAACAAAGTTGTAAAAAAAAAACGTCATCTCGACATTCTCGAGCGTAGCTAATTTTTTTTTATTTTGAAGGAAATAATTCAAGAATAATGAAAAATATATAATCTGACGATTTCCGCAAGCCGAAATAACAAAAATTCGTCGATAAAGTTAAATGCGTGCAGCTGCGTGATGCCTACATTTCCTTAAACCGATCGGAATCTACTAAACGGCGTTCTAAATATTTCCCTCAAAATTACATTTCCTGTGAATTTGAACCGATTCGGACCGATAGATTTTGAGAAATTTTGAAAAATCTTAAAAAAATAAGTTTTTTTTTTTAAGTGGTTTCTTTATCGATCAACTTCAAAAACTAATCCGCCTTTGAGCTTGAAAAACCACGTCGATGGCCACCAAGCTGGTCAAAAGCGGTTGTTTCGTTCGAGAGATATCGTGAACGAAAGAAACCCGAAAAGTGTTTTTTCGGGATTACTCCGAAATTTGTGGTTCGATCAATTAAAATTGCAAAATTACATTATTATATATGAGGATGATAAAACTGCGTCGAATGCCGCCAACCGCGTGAAAATTGCTTGATCCATTCAAAAGTTATTGCGGTTTGAAAATTCCAAAAATAGTGTTCTATGAAACTTCTATCAGACTTTCGAGCTGGGAGAGCTCAAATGTATAGAAATATTATTTCTTTGAACTCAGCGAGCTCAAAATATCAATTTTAAGCGCCCAGGAATGGAATTAGCGGGAAGTTGCAGGGATGGCCCTTTAGGTGAACCGTTTTTCTAAAAAAATTTTGTCAGATCAGGCGAATCCCTCTAGATAATCGTCAGATTATGAGACAGTACGTTTAGAACATAAAGATGAACCACATATATCTTAATCTGACGCGCTTGAGTATTTCAAAATTGCGATTTTTTTTTGCAAATTATGAAAATGGCCGTGGGTTTGCGTCCCATCGAAATCGTCAGATTAGTGATGAGAGCTTTTTTTTGGTGCACTTAACACTCCCTTAGAAAATCTGACGCGCTCGATAATTTTTATTTTTTTTTCATTTTCAACCCTTAAATACAACCACCCGCATCATGCAAACGATCAGATTAACATACGTACATTATTAAAAATACGTAGGGCATTGATGCTATCAATATCTGACGCGCTCGAGGATGTCCATGCAACAGTTTTTTTTTTACATATTTAATAATCTATAGCCGCTTCCCCCACCGATGAAAAGGTATATATCATATAACATTTTTTTCTTCTTATTATCTAAGCTTTGCATCCCAATAGGTCTCTACGACGCTCGAGTAAATCCCCATTTAGCATCGTGGGCTCCCCTACCATAAGGACACGCCTGACTCCCCTTATCCTTTTCCTCTAATTCAAGAATTCGTTTCTAAAAACTAAAGTAAGACACATATAGTTGGAAGTTATGTGTGCTATTGATTACGGCTAAACACTATAAATGCTAAATTGTTTTAATACTATCGATACCTATTAAAGATTTCATGATTTTGACACATATTAAATTTACAAAGTTTTATTTAGACTAGACTGTATAATATATTGTAATAGTGTGAAATAAATTTTAGCAAAACTTCATCATGATTGAATCTTGAATTTATCCTTTGATATCATGGATTCCTGCTTATCAGTCTCACCATCACAATATAGCTACAATTTTCGGTAGACTTATTTTTATGTAAACATTGCTGATCTATTAAAAGTAAAATTGTCTTTGATGTTACAAAAGATATCGATTATTGTTATACAACGACAATATGTCGGCCTTTGCAAACGTTTGCAAGCCACAGCCCAAAGCCAAGGCTTTGAGTGACGGATAATGTTTAAAACAGAAACTTTAGGACTGGTTAACAAACAACAAAGGCTTAATTTATTCTAAGAGCTCACCTAGTGTAGGAATTTAGCATTAGGCGTAACAGCACAAAAATATTGACAATAATTACTGATTAATGTGACACCTATAATTTTGATATCTCCTCTTTGTCTGTGAGTGCTCGATGTCGTTCTAACCATAGATAATATTCCTATATGGCCAATTGCCAAAGAGTCGACAGTAATTTCTGAAAACTGAAAACCACAGTAAAGTTAGAAGTTGGAACGTGTCCATATTATATTTAAATATATATTATCGTCCTTATTTTTATCAAGAATAAAATAACGATATTTCGTGTTCACATCACGCAAAATATGTAAGTATACTACGAAAAGCATTATTCCAGAGCCCTTAAGATTTTGTAATTTGTAACTGGATTGTTTTTGTGGCAATAATTATTCGTTATTAGATACATATAAAATGCAGGTATTGTAGTTTTAATTACATATTATTTTTAATTCTCAGAATCACTTATTTTATTATCTTTCATTATTATAAGCTAAAATGTACCTAGTATCTTTTATGTTGAATATTCATTGTTTGGTAGACGTCATAAGTCATAACGTTATTACGGATTAAGTTGTTGTAATTTGATTAAACCTTCGTTGAGTTTGCTTGTATTTAAACGTCACAAAAGAAGAAAATATAAATAATATCTTTACATTCAATTTATAACTTGAAAGGAATATATTTTCTAGAGTACCAAAATGAACAGTTCATACCAAGGGGGTGTACCCGACGATGATTATGATGTATTTCAAACATTGTCTACAACAATTGGAAGCAATATAAAGAAGATATCACAAAATGGTAAGGCTCTTTTGTTTTTCTAAAACTAAATCATTTTGGTAAACTATTGTAATTACAATTCTTCTGATTACTAGCAGGGATATATAATTTGTATGCTATATTAGGGATGTACTTTTTTATTTTAAGTCCAATTTCTTCAAACTCTCCATATTAGATTTGATATCTTAATCCCAAGTTAATCTATGATAAAAAATCTCATGAAAATACCATATTGAAATGTAACAAGCTATGACATTTATTTCTCATTAAAAATAAGGGCCTGGTTATATTAAAATTTAAAAATGCATTAAAATTTTTATTGAAATTTACTTAAAATAAATATAATTAGACTTCACACAATTTAGCTTTGAGCAATTTTTTGAACTAGTTTCTCTTTAAAACAATACATCCGAACAATGGTGAAATGTTTTTTATTCACACTATATAACTATGAAACAGATTGGAATGCATTTACTGAATATATATATATGATATGCGTTGAGGAAATAATAGATCTCAGAGTTAAACTAAAAACTGAACAGGATATTGAGGAAGCAACAAAATAATATTCCTTTAAAAATTTTCCTTAAGCTAGAAGAAAAACGGAAGTTACGCAGGCATTGTCAATTAAGTAGATTGTATGAAGACAAAGCTAACTTCAATTGGGAAGCTAGAGAACTTCGAACGATGGTATGTGAAAATAAAAACACTGCCATTGAGCAGAAAATATCCTCATTTTCAGCATTGAAGAAGAAAAGACCGCAGCAATGTTATACTCCCTATAAAAACACCAAATTATTTTACACCAAGCCAAATTATTTTCTCAACATCTAAGTCAAGTCTTGCAGTGATGAGTCTCATATGAGTGATTCTAAATGTGAAATTAATGAGATGTTAGATATTGTCCAACAATTAAGCCTCCCATTAAAACTAATAACACCAAAAGAATTGTAAAGAACAATAAGAAGGCTCAAATATACAAAAAGGCACTAGGTTTTGACCTTATTACTGTGGAGGTACTTAAGCACATGCCATAGTCGTCTTTTCTTTTCTTATAGTAGTCCGAGTCTGTATCTGAGATTATGGAAAGTTTCTCAGATATGCATGATAGCAAAACCAGGGAATCCCCTCAGAGCTCAATTCATAAATATAGCCCAACCCATTAGCCTTCTCCCAGTGCTATCTAAAGTTATTGAAAAGACATTGGCATAGCAGGCTGTTGTACAAACTGAAAACACTTTTACTCATTTCCTTTTACATGATCCTTAGGTCATTCCAAGTAACGATTGAAGAAGAAACTTTTGATTTGCATAGTATAATTGCCTCAGTACCACAGGGCTCTGTTTTTGGCCCTCTGCTCTACACAATATATATCTCAGACCTTCCTAAAACTAATGATATAGAGACTGCCATGTATGCAAATGATACAGCATGTCTTGACCAGACCAGACCTAGTAAAAGGTTCAAAGAAACTCCAAATTCAGCTTGATAAAATTGATTCTTAGCTATGCAAATGGAGCATAAAATCAAACACTACAAACTCCACCAATGTTACTTTCACTCTCAGAAGAGGAGAATGTGCACTTGTACATCTGGTAGGCAAAGAACTGCCAACAAGTAACAGTGTCAAATAGCCCCTGCGAACTTCGTTTCTCCTTAATGTGATTTTACTTAGCCTACCTTTTTCTCTATATAAACCTCAGAGGTCAAGTCATAAGATTTTAATTAACAAATAAAAAATAAGGGTTGGTGATAGAGGGTTCAAAATTTAGGGTTGTATGAATTTTTTAATGGCACATAAAAAATAAAAATTTTGTCCAAAAAAATTAAAATAAAATCCTCAGACCTACTGAATATGCATATAAAATTTGATAAAAATCGGTCAAGCCGTTTTGGAGAAGTATGGTAACTAACATTGTGACACAAGAATTTTATATATAAGATATAACGGTCCCTAGATAGAAGATTAACATGGGCTACCCACATAAACACCTAACAAAAAGAAGCAAATCTTCAGTATAAAAACCTATCCTGGCTTGTTGGATGTAGATCACAATTGTCCCTGCATAATAAACTCCTAATATACAAAGTTATAAACAAGCCAATTTGGACATATGGCATTAAACTCTGGGGCTCTTGCAAGTCACTCCAATGTAGAAATACTACAGAGATTTCAAAATATCGCTCTGAGAACCATATCCAGTGCTCCTTGTTTTGTTAGAAACACTGAAATCCATGAACACCTGAAAATGGAAACTATAAGAAACACTCAATGCCCGTAGTACAAGATACATGAACAGGCTTAAGGAACCTCCTAGATAGAAGAAGATGTAATCAGACTTAAAACAAAACAAATTCTAACCCTGGACTAGTGATTGAATCTGGCATGTTCACTGGAACATTAGCCACAAAGTATAATCTATAAAGAGAACACATCAGATTATGACTAAGCGAAGTTGATTGCTGATAAATTAAGGAGAAAAAAATTCATGGTTTTACATGAAATTTCATTATCTGAAACTTAATAGTATACTTGTTATTTCTTTTAGAAAAATCCACATAATATGATGCTTGATATTAATAAATTCTATTCAACTTTTTAATACAATTTCTTAACCCAGTTGTTTTGTTACAGTGTCATCCATGTCAAAAATGGTTAATCAATTACAAACACCGCAAGATTCACAAGAACTTCGGAAACAGCTGTAAGGCAGTTTATTAATTTTATTTGTTTATTAATAATTTATTATAATATAGACTTATTATGACTAGGGTTATAATTAGTTAGTTATCCACTGTTTTATTTGAATTTATAATTAAAGATAGCTTAAAATATATAACCTGTTATATTTCTTATAGTTGTGTGTTATATTCTGTTTTAACTTTTTTAAGGCGTCAGATACAAAACTACACCCAAAAACTTGCCAAAGATACTTCAATCATGCTGATGGATCTAATGAAAATGCCCGTGGATAAACCAGATCAGAAGCTAAACAAAGACAGGCTGAGTGATGAATATATGGCTACACTAAATGCTTTTCAGGTACTTCATAATTATCTTTCTTTAGTTAAACATTGTTAACTTTATGGTATCATGTAGATTTATTAATCTGTATTATTTAAAGTAATTTGATATTGTTTGACAGTATCTTAGTAATTAATTATGATCTTGCTGTTGCCTATTTTATTTTGAGCCACATGGCTACAGACATTTGACATTTTTACAGACATTATTATAGAAATTTACAAATTCTTGAATAACTTATTAGCTGGCAACATGGTAACATCTTGAATTCATTATATTTTATAGGCAACCCAAAGAACTGCAGCCCAAAAGTCAAAAGAAGATATCAGAAAAGTTAAAGCGCAGAATATTAACATTGGTGATCCTTTTGCTGTTGGTATGTAATGAATCCAAGAACATATACACAAATATTGATTAATATTATCTAAATAAATTTTGACCAAACTTGCAAATTATACAAACCTGTTTGCTATTCAGTAATTTCGTGAACAAAATACATATTACCGTAAATCAAATATTATTTACATTCTTATCAAACAGTGGCAAAACTAAAATTGGCAGCTTGTTAATTAAAACCTGTTTTTTTTTTAATTATAGCATGTTGCTATATTGGTACTAGATTGCTGCATGTATTGTATTTGTATTTTTCTATGTATGAAAGAGACCTTGACCTAGTTGCCTTTTGGGTCTATGATGGTAAATATTGGAAAACAGAGTTTGAACGCACAACCAGCCAATGCATGTTTAACCACTAGACTAACATTTCTCCATGCGTTAGTTATGTAAATGAAAATCATTGGCAGGTGGAAACAAGGAATTGTTGGAATTAGGCGAACCACCAAAGAAACAGGAGCAAATGACTATGCAGTCAGAGCGAGAGCTTATGGAGCTTGAACAGCGCGAGAGCGATATAAGACAATTGGAGGTAAATGCGCACCTTTTCACTTTATGCTACACAATATGGACTATTTTCATAAACCCTTTAAAACCCGTCATTTTTATGAATATAATACAGTATAAACTCTTTATACGTTATAAAGGGACCGAGAATTTTTCTTCTTTATAGAGAAGTTTTCGTTATAGGGAGAGAGGAGAAAAAACACCAAACTTATCCTATTACAATAATTTATATATATATATATATATATTATATATAATAGATAGGTGACAATGGTGCGTTTAGTAACTGAGACCAAAATTTCCTACAGGCCATGTAATCTATCACACACGTGTGTGCAATTAACAATAACAAAGGCGAGACGTCTGATGATGACCTCAGGTCCCCTTTTTAGAAATTTCGGTACCTCAATAGATTAGTTTTGTAATCTGATTATAAAAACAATCTACTAAAGATGTGCCTGTTGAGAAATTGTTAGTACTGATAATGGAAAATATGTAATAATTAGTATCAATACGACTTATGTTGTGGTTTAATGGTGGTGGTAAATGTCTATAGTTTCTATCTGATTTCGTTTTGTTTACGTAGTTTATAGATAAAAGGTATTTGTCCCCTTCTCAGGTGTAATCTATCAAAGAAAAATAAACAGATATCATAATCTCATTTGTGATAATCGTCACTAATTTCTTCAAATACATTAGTATTTCAAAATTGATTTCAATTTTATTGATTTCAAAATTATTATCTAAAATTACTGCAGAACTGAAAAAAAATGATGACGTACGATTTAGAAGCACTGCAATTGTGACGTCATTGCCGTTTACATATTTCTAAACTGAAGTAACAAAATATTTTTGTACAAAAGCCTGGCACATTGGTACATAAAAGAAAATGTACTAGATTTAATGTGACAAGCACTTATAGGCAAACATAACAACAACAAACATCGATTCAAAACTTTGAAATATTTAAGAAAAATTGTTTTTAAAGAGAAAGGAGTAAGTATGGATAATGGATATCCAGACCTAGCATGTTAATCAGAATACTCAATTTGAAAATGTCAATGGCAAAGAAATGTCACGTGTTTAAATAATGATTGTACTAGAAGAATGTAATGACATGAATTTTTCTTATAGAGTAACATAATGGATGTCAACCAAATATTCAAGGATCTCGGAACTATGATACATGATCAAGGTACTGTGGTGGACTCTATTGAATCAAATGTAGAGTGTACATTGCAAAATGTCGAAAATGCCACACAGGAATTGAGTACCGCTGCTACATATAAGGTATATTAGTTAATTTCTTATGTAAAAGTATGCAAATTACTGCCCCTTCAGTGCCACTAGCCCCAAATAGTTTGAATTTGCTTGCCATGTCCATTTATTTAGACTAATGGAAATCTTTTTTCTATTGTTTCTCTTGATTTCTTGATTGTTTGAGTATTTTCTGTGTACAATGTACATATATATATTTCTTAGAGAAATTCTTCAGTGATTTTGATGTGAATTTATGACAAACGCCCAACCGGTCTTAGCTGGGCTTGTGAGCAAGTGGTGTGAAAGCTTTCAAATCACATAACCGTAGTATAAAATAGTTTAAAAATATAACAACTAAAGAAGTCTATATAAAACTTTCATAAACAATTCATTATTTAATTATATTATTAAGTAGTGGCCTGTCGTCCCCTTTAAAGAAAATATCTGTATCGCACGGCTATGCATTTAAAATATATATTAGCCATAGCTATTTTTTTTATATTCTAATTGTGACATCGGTGCAGTAATATTAGTAAATCATTCCTCTGCTTAATATTAGTGAAGACTTACCATAATTTAAAAGTTTAAGCCAATTTAAAACTGTTACTAGAATGTTACCGTGTTCAGCAATTTGTTACTTTTACTTTATGTAGGTTAAGAAACCAATTCATTAACAAAAAAATTTATTGTACATGCTTTATCTCTGTAAATTTGTAATATTTCAGAATAAGCTGCGTAAGAAGAAAGTCTACCTGACGTTGATACTCATAATAGTGATATCTATTATTTTTATTATTATTTTCCATAATTAGGTCTGTTAGTTTACTACTATATTTAATAGATGTATGACGGAGTGACGTTCCTGTCAGCTGCTATTGAAAAGTCTAGTAATGTTGGCAAATTAAACAAACAAACTAATCGTATTAATAGTACTTGGGGTTTAGTCAAGATGCCTTAACAGTCGTGTATGCAGAAAATAGAAATCTTAATTTGTATGAAAATGACAGTTCGTGTCGACAAATTAACATACAAATTTAGTTTTCGACTTTTCAGATTTGACATTGATAATTTATAAGCTCTGTGACTTAATGATAATGACAGCTGACAGTAACGCCAGTACACCGACATGTACCATTTGTTAGTATAACACCCAATAGTAATGTTCACTGATGTATAATTAGCATGTTCAGTATGTACATTCCATTTGATGTATATATTTCTTACGCTTTCTAAGAATACTTGGCCTAGTGTCTTCAGCGTGCGACTCCTGATCCCATAGGTCATAGATTTGAACCCCGGCTGTGCACCACTGGACTTTCTTTGTGCGCATTTTATATTCGCTCGTGCAGTGAATGAAATCATCGTAATAAAACTGTCGACGATATTTGTCAGGGACGGAAGGCTAATCACCTACTTGCCTTTTAGAAAAAACACTTCATAACGACATAGTTACATAAATCTAAGGGCTAGACCTAAAAGGTTGTAGCGGCTTTTTTAATATATGGTGTATACTCTATATAACGACACTCAAGGGACTGTGTCTATTTTGTCATTACAAAGAGTTAAATCGAAAGAAAAATCTGTATAGAAAAAGAAAGTTTATTTCAGAATAGTTTTAGTAATTACATAAAAACAATTCGTATTTAAACGCTATTGCGTTGCCTGTTTTTTTTTGTACTGCACCAGTAGTTATGTTGTATTTATTTTTTGTTTACCAAATATGTTAGGTTGTATTTTTTTACTTATTTAATTCATTTCTTGCGATATTGGGGCATCTTCGTGATAAAGCACATGCAAGCATGCGCCATTATTGCGGCAACTTAAAAAGTATGTATATGTAGAGTGAATGTATGCAAGACAATCTAAACCAACCAAAGCCGATCGTTTTCGACGCTTTAGGGGGTTTGCCGTTAAATCGAGGTGTTACATGAACTTTACACTATATTCTTGATGTATAATTTAACATAGATTTAAGTATTTTCTGGTATTAAACAATTGTTTTGTATATTGTTAAATTATAAGATATATAGACTCGTGTTTACCAAATATGTTAGCTTGTCTAGCATTATATTAATCATATTCTAATCACATAATCATTAAGCTTTTTAAAGATTTAATTGTGTATTAAATGTTTACATGTATATTCTGCTGACTGTACCTACTTATATAGATTTAAGCAATATTTATAAGCAGCTGAGGTATTTTTTATATGAACTCAATTTGAATATGTTAACGATTTACATTCTTTTAACCATGTTGCAATAAACGCCTAAACGAGTGTAATTTGTATTAAGTTTTTTTGAGGTGCATCTAGGCTTTTCCTTTGTATGTAATAAAACTATATTGTACTCTATAGCTGTTTTATTTTTTACAATGCAAGCGTAGGCAATGCAATGTGTCGAACTAACGTATCACTATCGCCTCTTAATGGTGGTGAATTATTAAGGGGATTAACTGAGCGAATCTTTATATCCAAGGGACAGACTCATAATTACAGACTTACCTTTAGTATGTGAAATTTTCTTTAATTATTCTTAAGACCAAGTATTTTAAAAACGTCAGCCAATGCGAGTTTTGAAAAGTCCTCTGTCCATGAATTTTCCACGTGCCGTTCACTCTCCGTGAGTAGCGCCCTCGCCCAGTAGAGGCCTGCTTTTTTTTAAAGAATACCTATTAGTACGGGAGGTAGCAACGTTTTCGAGAAAGAATTTCAGGTCAGCTGATTTTGTGATATGTCTTCCTTCTTGCACTTTCGGTTAGAGTCTGGGCAATCTGGCTGGCGGTAGCGGTTGCGTTCATTAGCGCGCATCCTATCTGTCCAGGTAATAATCTTGGATTTTAAAAGCATTTTAAGAAGCGTAATTTTAAATTTTTAGTTTTTAAATAAGTCTACCTGGCATACTTTTTTTATTGCCAGACATTTTTCACATTGCTAACTATGTGCCAGACGCGATTTTAAGTTTTTTTTTTATAAAAATTTCAAAGTAATTTAGAATGTCTGTAATTTTAATATTATGTTATTTAAATATAAGAAAAACTAAAAATGAATATGCCAGACATTAATTCGATTGTTAAGCCTTGAATTAAAATGAAAAAGTCATGAAAAGTATTGCAGTATGATGCCTTTCAGTGGTTCATCGTGTTCTTTAATGATTCTTCAATAGTTTTAATTACTTTGTTATTTATCACTTTGTATGAATAACATTTATTAAAACTTACGTAAATGTTTTTATTACCAATGAAAGGCATCATACTGCAATACTTTTCATGACTTTTTCATTTTAATTCAAGACTTAACAATCTAATTAATGTCTGGCAAATTCATTTTTAGTTTTTCTTATATTTAAATAACATAATATTAAAATTACAGACATTCTAAAATACTTTGAAATTTTTATAAAAAAAAACTTAAAATCGCGTCTGGCACATAGTTAGCAATGTGAAAAATTTCTGGCAATAAAAAAAGTATGTCAGGTAGACTTATTTAAAAACTAAAAATTTAAAATTACGCTTCTTAAAATGCAATGCTTCATCATACTGCAATACTTTTCATGACTTTTTCATTTTAATTCAAGGCTTAACAATCGAATTAATGTCTGGCAAATTCATTTTTAGTTTTTCTTATATTTAAATAACATTATATTAAAATTACAGACATTCTAAAATACTTTGAAATTTTTATAAAAAAAAACTTAAAATCGCGTCTGGCACATAGTTAGCAATGTGAAAAATGTCTGGCAATAAAAAAAGTATGTCAGGTAGACTTATTTAAAAACTAAAAATTTAAAATTACGCTTCTTAAAATGCAATGCTTCATCATACTGCAATACTTTTCATGTCTTTTTCATTTTAATTCAAGGCTTAACAATCGAATTAATGTCTGGCAAATTCATTTTTAGTTTTTCTTATATTTAAATAACATTATATTAAAATTACAGACATTCTAAAATACTTTGAAATTTTTATAAAAAACAACTTAAAATCGCGTCTGGCACATAGTTAGCAATGTGAAAAATGTCTGGCAATAAAAAAAGTATGTCAGGTAGACTTATTTAATAACTAAAAATTTAAAATTACGCTTCTTAAAATGCTTTTAAAATCCAGGATCATTACCTGACAAATAGGATGCGCACTAATGAACGCAACCGCTACCGCCAGCCAGATTGCCAAGACTCTAACCGAAAGTGCAAGAAGGAAGACATATCACAAAATCAGCTGACCTAAAATTATTTCTTTTCAAACGTTGCTACCTCCCGTACTATATTCTACTCCCCTGCCATTGTGTCCAGTGACTTTTTCTATCTCTAAACTTCACATCACACGTCTTGCGAAATACGCCCCGGCTACGTCGGTAATTTTGGTTACAATATTCATGGGCGAGCCGGGGCGAAATTCCTCGCGAGACCCGTTCTTTCAGTTTTGTTTGCCGCCTTAATATATTTAACAATTTTTTCGCAGAACCGTTCCAGGCACGATCTGTGCTTTATTAACATGTGTTGTAGGCCGTTACGGTTTATAGTCATCTGCATTTGTTGCTCCAGGTCGTGCCGGACGATGCGAATATAGGGCAATGTAGGAGCACATGTTCAACTGTTTGATCTTCATTACTACAGGCACGTGTTGGGCTTGTCCTAATTTTAAACCTTTGCAAGTAATGTGCAAAGGCAATCTGGGTAATCCTTTAGAGTGTAGAGCGCGACATCGACAACGCCGGCGTCACAATGGTGGCAGGTTGGCGCCTCTTCACTCCCGACTACATTGTGCAAATAGCTGCCGAAACAGCCGTATCCGGACAGTATCTGTACGAGTTGCCGAGGGGGCCCCACCGCTTCTTTAACCATTTCTCGAGCTGTGGTTTATTAATTACCTGCTTTCTTAAAAACACATGACTGTTTCGCTATAATATTTTATAGAGATGACAGCCAAGAATTTGGCTAGACCGCTTGCTTTTATTGAGGAAGCGTTTCGATGGCCATAGACGGACCGCATGTTGCAGTCGATACCGACTGCTCTAAGCGGTCGCCGCATGGCGAACTGCAGTTTCCATACTAAATTCATATCCGCCATACACGGACCGCACGACCAATTTCTGAGCGGTCGGAGCAGTCGCTCTGCGGTCGAGTTTGAGTCGAGGTCGACTGCTTGGAGCTGCCGGACCCACCATACACGGACCGCTACAAGCGGTTGTTGCCGACGCCCGCCACTCCCTCAAATAAAATAAAATACTAACTAATTCATCAAATGAAACCACGGACGTTCTAAAGTAGTTGAAAAACTTTTTAGTGTCTTCTCTCAGCTGGTGATACAAAGTATTAAATATTCCATGCTGTTCTCTTGATTCTAGTATTAGACGCACCCACATACTACGGTGTCTTTTACGCCTACGCTTGCGTAATAGTAGTACAAGTAGCAGTGTTTCTTCATCGAAATCCATCTTGTAAATGAACTCGCATCAGTATTATTTTGCGGTCGAACACAACTGCTCCAAGCAGTCGTAGCCTGCATTATGCGGTCGTGTTGCAGTCGTGTACGACTTCAACTTAGAGAATTATCACATATATAAACGTAAATTAATCAATTAAGCTTTTCATATATTTGACGATTATATAGTAGTCTTATGCTGTAAGATCACTAAAAACGGCCACCTAAGGAATTTTACGCTCTAAGGTCGATTTCAGTTAATGTTCGTTCGCAACGTTCTGACGACATGAAAGCGTGCATCCAAAAATAATTGGGATACGCCGTTAAGATGGGCCAGCTTGGAGTCCTGACCTCAATCCAATTGAGCATGTCTGGAATGTTCGAAAGAGACGAGTAAGACAAAAGAGTCATTGCAGAAGTGGGAACGTATTCCTCAAAACGTTATTAAAAACATCGTGGAAAGCATGCCCAGATGGATTCAAGCAGTGATTTTGGCAAGATGTCACACTTGTTATTAGGTTTAAAAACATCTTCTTGTCTTTATTGCCGACCACTTATTGTTGAGCCGTGAACATCAGTGTTAAAGAAATCACAAATAATTAATAAAAAATTGCAAGAATTCAATACACGCGTATTAATTTACACGGTTATAAGCGTACAGACTACGACAAACAATCAAATTTCATTTAATTAATAGAACGTAGAAAGTAAATATCTTTATGACATTAAATAAAACACGAATTAATTACAAAACCATTTTATTACATTATAATGGAACTTGAAATGTGCAATTGTCTGCTTTCGACAAAAAACTTTTAGGCTCAACGAACATTAACCTCTACTAAAACTACTGAAGATCCTTTAACATTTCCAACGACCTGCCTCATCACAATGGCAATAAACGATATACATTGGATTAAATATACATTGGAAAAATACCTGAAAAACTTAAATCCAAAATTATCTTAAACAATTAAATTTATCACTTATATTTGGTATTACAGTCAAAAATTAAAAGAAATATCTTGACGAGTGAAAATAAAGAAAAAAAATCTTAAAGAAACTATATATAATAATACAAAAATTATGTAATACTCTCGATAGAAATAAAGGTTAAAAATTAAATTTTTAATTACTGTTTAATAAATAGATCTAAACTTTCCATTATTCGTAATCTGGATTAAATAAAATATATAATTTGATTACCACAATTCTGTACATTACATTATTACCATGCCATTACAATATTTCTATCTAAGATGTTATTCTTTCGATATGTACACTCCTTTCATTGGTAAACTAAGTGGGTTAAAATTTGATTTTGCGAACCGATTGAATATTCCACAGGATACCAAAATTATTCTCTCTCAGGTCTCCTAAATGCCCGGTTATACAACAATATATGTGGCGAAATATTTAACAAACCATCTTTAATGACCATATTGTTATATCGTCAAGGTTTAACGATATTTCATACCGATTTGTATATCGTTATTGTGTTTTTGTTGTTGATTAGTCTGATATGAGATTGATGTAAATTGTCAATTTCAGTTGCCATTAACTTGGCTGATTTATAACTAAAGGTTGGCTATATCTTGAAGCGACACGATACAGTCGCGACATGTATGAATCCTGTGAAATATACCTTCATTTCTAAATACCCACGTAACAAACTAACTACCTTATAGCTATTTAAAAAACATATATCGCATACAAATATAATTAGAAAAATAAATCAAAAACTCACGCTAGGAAATATATAATGGGTAACTTTAAAATAAAATTAATGCAAAATTTTAAGAATTTTATAATCATCATATATAATCAATTATCACAATAGTAAATACGTTAGTAAAGTGTATTATTTATTGTTATATGCTTTAAATTATATAAAACGGAAAGATGTTCAAAAAGGTATAAAGTATAGTGATATAGTGTATATTCCAAGACGTGACAAATCATATTTAAATGGAATACGAACGATATAAAAATATTTTAAAATATTTTCAGTGTCTAGATTCAATCAAAACGCCTGTGGTGAAACACGTAATGAAAACACGGAATAGATAAATGGCAAGAAGGTCATTTGGTTCGAACGTCACAATTTAATGATTTAAAATTGTTGTATCAGGCGTGATCACCCTTCCTATTTTTCTGTTCCGTGTCACAAGAATCACACAAGGGAATAATTTATATAAAATATAAATAAAGTATATAGCAACTTCACGGCAAAGTAATTTGCATATCTTTTAAACGGGAAACATGAATAGAAAGGCACTTTTAGCAACTTAGGTTCGATACTTGATAAATAAAGATAGCCGAGTATGTAATATATAATAAATTAAAAAAAAAACTACATTAACAGTAATAAAACGTTTGAAGCCATCTAACAATACCGTAGTAACAATGATTCGTCCATTGTTTTAAAAAAATCCGTAAATGACACAACATAAAAATCTATAACAATTCATCGGCCTATATTTATTATAAAACATGGGACTACAGGACACAAGTAGAATAATTTCTTATAACTCACATTTGACCCACAATGTAAACTCTTACAATGAATTAAATACAAGATTTTCTAATAGTGTGTGTTAATCTTTAAATAAAATATTTTTTTTTATTGAAATCCCGTGATTTGTGGGTTTCACTAACAAAACGATATTAAAATAATTTTATTTCATTAACGTCAATTTGCAGACTTAGTAACACAATTTCCGAAGTGACAACTATAAGTGATGAAATTTAAAATTATAAACTATTTCTATAAAAATGTCTAAATATACTCTACAGGGATTTTCGGCTCTCACTTATATTTGCCACTGGCAATGTTAGCGAATCATTATTACTTTTAGTATATAGTGCGTAGATTTAGTGCGGCTACATTGTCCATCTTATATTTAATAAAACGGAGCTTGAAAACATCTGTTGACCACTAAAACGAACATCTTACTACGTCTGTTTTATTGATATTTTTCTTTATAGAAAGTATTTAGCCAGTGACTTAGTGTTTTAATTGTACGAATACGTAGTAGATTTTCTACCGTACTATTGCTTAACTTGTCTTCACACTAGACACTAAGTCAGAATTTTATAAACGACTCCTTCAAAAATATTCATTTTTATAAACGTACACAAGCCACTGTTAGTTATCATGTTTTTTTTATTTTGTAGGCTCTTTACCTTTAATATATATTTACCGATAAAGTCAATTGACCCCCTTATAGATATAATAATGTATATCCCTTTCATCAGGTGTAAACACAATTCGACAGAAAACGATGTAGGGTTGAGTAATGTAATTTTGGGTTCTTATAAATGGGGTCAAATGTTTATTTGAGGCATAGAGTCGTATATTCCATATTTTTAAATAACCAATTTATATTATAATATAAAACTTCTATGAGGAAATATCGGTGAATTCATTTTAGACTAAACAAAAAAACACTAAAGTTTTCTAACAGATATGCATTACTTTTTATCTTAATTCCAATTTTTTCATTATTTATTTTGACTTGTTTCATATAAGCCCTCATTTAATAAGTATTGATATTTGAAAATTTCGCCGATGAACGCTCTAGTGGATAACAGTTTTAGGACAATTAGCGTCTAACACGCAACAGCTTCTGAAATAGGGTTTTCAGTGATACGGATTACTGGCGAGTGGCGGCAAGAACGACGATCACCAGAGTGAATGCTGTCACTTCTTGGTAATAATATTTTCTTGGGTATCGGTGACACTGTAAATCAATAAAGTTAATTATTTGTATATACTTATATGAATCTTGTAAAATTTTTCAATGCGACATCGTCAGTAATCAAAAACATTTAAGTTCGTTTCCCGACCGCATGACGTCTCTCAATTTGTTTACTCTGATAAAAATCAAGCCATTTAACTTTTCATCATATAAATACAATGTTTGTGCTATGTTTGTATTTTTAATTTGGACTGTAATTTTATAGTGTTTTGTAAGAACAAAAACAATTTCTTTATAAGTCGCTTTCAAGAATTTCTCGGGGTTTCAAAGCCAACAAGGTTTCATAAACTTGTGCTCCACTAATGGTGAAAAAGTTTTCCCTTTGCACTGCGTCATCTACGATGCCATTCGCTTCGAAGCAATTATCACCTTTTGAACTTAATTCATGAAACTTCACTGCTGCACGCTCCATTGCGTTAATTTTACACTTCGTCACCAATATTATGTTTTATAATAGTCCATTTCATAAACATTAAATAGTTCAGTGAGCTTGTGAACAATGCTTACTACAGACTGGAAACTAACCGATTGACTACCAACTACTCTTACTTTTTTTACTATATTATTAAATAGTCTACATATTCTATAGTAAAATTACAAATACAAACATGACAGTACGAATGTTTAATTACAATCTAAATAGCAAATTACTATGCAATAGTATTGAAATTAATGGTATATAAACATTTTAGACACAAATTAATGTAGAACACATATGTATTTAGTATCAATTTTATTAATCAAAAATATTTTTTTAGATTAACTTATCCTGTACATAGTCCTCTTTAGAATGCTCCCGTTGGTTCTAAATTATACACAGGCGTGAATGGGTAATATAGTAGCTTCGAGTAGAATACTTTCTGGTGGTCCTAATAATATTCCTGGATAGATGCGCAATCGAATGTAAAATATGAGTTTTGGGCGAAGGATCTAACACAAGTTTAACGTAACACGGTTAAAAAAATCTATGGTCACCCGAGTGCCAAATTAAGAAAAAAAAATGCATCTTTCATAAAGATTCCGAAATGGTACAACTCATTGTGGAAGCACAATGAATTGTACCATTGCATTTAATACAAAATAGATTACTATTATCCATTCTTTACGCCATAACCGGTTAAGTTATAATTGAAAGAAAACAAATGACGTGTTTTTATTCGCTCTAATTTTTTCATCATCATCAACAATCAGCCGGTCACATTCTGTGCTTTTTGCTTCAAGTTGGTGTCGTATCGATCGTATACTGTTAATTTTGGCGTTAAAACTTGCCATACCCTAGTAAAATAGAATCAAAATGGGTGTAGCTGCGCGTACGAATGTGTATGTGCATTTGTGTGTATATGAGAGAGTATCTGTTTAGTAGAGTAACTTAACATTTTGTATATCATTTATATAATATTATTTATACATAATTTATATGTGATCTTTCTTGTGTTGTGTATTAGACACACATTCTATTTATTTTGTGGTTCACTAAAAATAGTGTGACTTGTTCTACAACCAATAAAATTACAAATAAAATTAATGCATAACAACTTACACTGTGCGTTTTAAATGCGTGGGCGCCATTTTCTTCTTTGTAGCATAAGAGCTAAGAATAAAATAATTTCAAATAAAAAGCAAATAAAAACAAAAATAAACAAACTAAAAAGAAATTATACACACATGCTTAAACAAATCAAACTGAATAAAATGCTTGAAATTCGGATTCTATAAAAACCAAGTCACTAAACACAAAACTACAATGTATGTGCATTTTTATAAAAAGCGATAAGTAACTAAGCCATCATTTAAATAAGATATGCCGGCTTCCTCACGATGTTTAGCTAACCTTCGACTTCAGGGATAAGAGTCACACACAGAAGCCACTAGGCCGACATTGCAATTTTATAAACACTCACCATAGCCTTCGCCCTGTAAAAAGAGACGGAATGCCTCAGCCGCTTTACCGGGCTCTTCTTCAAGCACCATTGAGGAGTCAGATATCTGAATGTTAGCAAAAGTTGCTTATAGTACCGTTATGATATTCTATTGAGTCTGTGCGAAAAGAGAACCAGTTGGGTGACAGTCACGCGAACTAATATAATTTTTCTCTTAAATATATACTTATAATTTTATCATATTATGTGTCAAGATACTGATCTATAATAACGTAACAGTGTTGTCATAATAAAAAGGGTAGTTTAGTCTTCTGTGACCTCAAATCCCACGGCGGTTCTCATTTCGGACGGATTTTCCATTGCATCCTATTAGTAAGTTTAAAAGTTGTCATAATCCTGAGTTTTTAGTGTTACCAGATCGTTAACGAAAGCATTTACTATTTATGGCTAAGATAATTATATACTAGGGGACGGTACAGAAACCACGATTAAATTTTGTATAAATTAGGATTGAGCGAAATCTACTTTTAAACCCGACTGAGAAATATTTTTTGTTCAGATTATCGAGATAACATTCTTTACAAAGTATAGTGATATAAAAATAATGTGTTCTGTTTCAAAAGTATATATAAAAACGCCACCACTTTGATCTTACTAAACTACGCAATGGATATTAATTAAATTTTCACCAAAATATTGTAAACCTATTTTAAAAAGAGTAAGTGTGGAGTTTCTTGCCCATTCTTCTCCACACGAAACTACCTTTTGGAAGGGGCAACTAGAATCTTCTTTGTATTTTTTTTGACGTTCAAAAGTGCCATTTTAGATGGTCTAATTGAAATAAATGATTTGACTTGACCAATAAACAAGAAAAGCTGAATTACAATATAATTATTTCAAACAAAATTACTTGTTAAACCATCAAAACTTAGACTAAGACTTAAATCATCATTACACACCTTCATCCAAGCAGACATAGAAGGTTCCAGGCGGCTGTTAAACGTGACCGTAGCGTCCACAAATGGCGACAGGGCACCAACTATATTCAAGACAGGTATCTGCATGGTCGCACTATCGCGAGAAAGACGCAAGTCCTGCCTCTTCCCAAAAACATCGATGAACATTGCCACGTTTACTGGGTTCGGAATGTTTGCGAACTGGTAACGATACTTCGACACTACATTTGGATTACATTCCTCCGGTATCTGTAAAATAGTTTTTCTATATTTTTTTTTATCATCATATATTTTTTTTCTATGGAGAAATGTTTTAACATCGACCTTATGATAAAACAGAGTTCAAGATTTCAATATATTTGATGATTTATTATAAGGCCGAGAATGGTTAAAAGCAGTATTAAATCGCAGTGCTTTTCACCGAACATATTACTAGCTAAGTCGGCAAACTCTTAATCATCGAAACGCTATGTATCAAACCGGGTTTGTACAATTGATTAACCATTGAACATTGAACTCGTATATTGAAAAGGTTAAAAATTCTTAATAAAAAACGGATCTGTGAAAAAAGCTTCATAATAAGGCTTTGTCTGTAAATCGCACAGCAATCGAATATCGATTATAAATTGCGCAAGCTGCAGTGTTCGCTAGAATAATTAACAATGTTCGCAAATGTCACAATACACTTCAAATTTATTTAAAGACAATTTACAAGATAGGTATATAGCAAGCAGAAACATGTGAGAAAAAAATAAGTATCATTCAATAGGATCGCAAGGACACGATATAACAGCGCGCGCATCAATGAGTGATTTTAATAATTTAGTTTTGATATTACATATTTATTTCCCGGATGTTTTGCCACTTCTTTCGGAAGGTTTACGTTTTATCCCGAGAAAATACAATAAACACATTACAATTATGAATACGACAGAACAATGCAATTTTTGAAGTTATACTTTTTGGGGCGTTAGGGGAAAATGGTGAGAGTTTATTTTTAAGATACGCGCGCACACCGTCTCAAAAAACCGACACCCTGAAGTTAGCTATAGTCGACATTTTAGTTTTTTCTATTGTTAGTGCTGTTTTTCTACAAACGTACAATAAAAAATTTAAGAGATTTTTATGTTGTTACGTCAAAGAAGAACTTTTTTTTTTAAATTCCGCGTTTGTTTATGTTTTACATACGTATTACGGTAGTTTGGGTATATATTTTACACGTGTATAGAAAAATAATACATATTTATCAATCGCAAACAGGCGCTTTATAACATATATGATGCAATCTATAATCTATAAAAGCAATTAAAACCAGTCAGACCTAAATATTTATATTATATATTGCATATTATTTTTTACAGTAAACTGCTTCATGTCATTATTTATTCGCTGGGGTCACGCATGTTGTAGTGCGACTCATAATGTATAAAAGCAATAGTAAACGCATCGCAAATGTTATACTCACTCTTCCAAAATGGTGCCAGAGCAGGAACTCGACAGCGGACTCGCACATGCCGCGCCTGCGCATCATTCGGCACGTCATTTTAAAATAGGCCCAGTCCAGCCACCCTAGCTGTGTCGATGTGCAGTTGATCAGCGCCAAGCCCTCCATCTAAAACCGTTGAGTTCATCTAATAAACTTGTAAGTAATGTATTAGGCTATGTTCAGATGGCAAAAACTTGACGCGCGTTTTCAAATCGCGCGACTAGACATTGTGGTATTTTTGCGGCGCTCAGAGAAAAAGTCTCTAGACGCAGGTGATCGCGTTGACGCGCGTTTTGATATTAATGTAATGTCCGTATGCTGTTCAGTTGAGCGCGCACTTTCATTGCGATCGCATGTAATTTTGTTAATTTTCGTAATTATATTTATAACAAACTGGGTCTATTTTTCAAAATTGGATGAACCCAATGTGTACGTTTTCTTTTTCTATATTTTTCTTTAAAATATAACCACAAAATAATAGCCTCTTCCACGTCCATTTTCTACGTTCTACCGAACTAGACTGACGAGTACTCTCGCAACGCGCGTTAGCGCTCATCATCTGAACTCTCTTCAAATTTGATTGCGCGTTGACGCGTGTTAACGCGCGTTACATGTGAACATAGCCTTACTCCACTATTTCGCAAGCTTATAGTAGTTAAAGAATGTAGAGTCTTTTTTGTTTATTTGCAAAATGACACGATAACGACAAGGACCAATGATTAATATGGTACATACAGCTCATAGGACGTTTTGGTAAAAGTTTAAACAATCCCGAAGTATTTGCGTCTATTACTTTCAGCTAAATCCTTTAAATTATTTTATTAGTATTTAGATTGTACATACATATTAACCCAAGAGTATTGAGATTGTCGCCACTTATGCATAAAAGCTAAATTAGTATAAATGCACTAAGTCTTTTGTCTCTTTCTGTTAAATTGTATTTTAGGTGTGAAGAAAAATAAGAGCTTTTTTACGACTATCGAAGCTACGAGAAGCACGACAAATAAAAATAATGGTCAAAATTATTTTACAATTTGTACGGTTGACAATTGGCATTGTCTTTTACGATCAACTCTCTTGGGCTTACATAGCCATGATATAAATCATTAATGCGCTGTTCTCTTTTATTTATAGTAAACGAATATTTATTGCAATCAAAAACCACGATATACATTTTCAATACACCCCACCACTTATAGTCTAAACAAAGACCTGCCGACATAAGATACTATAGCATTTCAATATCCAATTTAACAATGAAACAAACCATTATAACCATACATTGCTATTAGCCAATAATACATATCAATTTCATATGTGCCGGTAATAATTACACAAGCCACGATACCACTAACCAGCTCATTGTTCGACAAACACTGATCATACGCCTACATATTATAAAATCGATTTCATTTACACCTTTTGTTAATTGGAGCCAGTACGTTGCAAGACCTCTACTTCAATTGACCCCATTCTTCGCGCTTACATACATTGGACAAATAGTATGGGCTAGATTCATGATAATTTATTTTATTAAAATAACGTGAATATTTGTTAAATGTTTTATAAAACTCTTGTCTGCAGAATAAGCTTTAAGCCTTATAGATCAAGAGCCCAGGACTGCCAGACCTTCGTCATTTTATAAAAGCTGAAAGTTCTTCTGTGCGTGTCCTCTATACAGGTAAGAACGACCAGAGACTATAGAGTTTGGGTAGTGGTTACTTTGGCAGATAACAGGTAGTAAAGACTAAGCGCTCGCGCTCGGACCTACAGCGGACTTTCAATGTGTCTGGCAGGGTGTAAAAACCATTGAAACTGTCCGGCTATTGAGGTATCATATTTTCATAGGTCCCCAAGTAACATATATAAAATTTAGCTTTTATACTCTAACGAAAGTATAATTATAATTAATTAATATTTAGAAGTGTCTGGCAGGGGGAAGCAACTGTCATAAGTGTCCGGCAATGTATGGCGATATTTATAAAGTTATCCCTAATAAAATATAAAAAAATTGAGCTTTATACTTTAAGGGATTTAAGGTACTATTTTATACACCTTTACTACCTGTTATCTGCCAAAGTAACCACTACCCAAACTCTATAGTCTCTGGTCGTTCTTACCTGTATAGAGGACACGCACAGAAGAACTTTCAGCTTTTATAAAATGACGAAGGTCTGGCCTAAGCAAAGACCCCTGGGCTCTTAGGATATTATTGAAAATGTATGCATTCAATATCAATGACATGACTTACACGGTACTCGTTTTGTACAAGTTATAAATTACTTAAGCTATTTAGTAAAAAAATTAAAAGCTTACAAATTAACGCATAAACAGGTTCACAGCTTTCTTATCAGCAGCAAAGTTGCACAGTTCTTTATGCATGTAGTTTAAATGAATATACCAATAAATATAAGATTATTTGATGTCTAAATAGTATTTTTATTTACCTTTGATGGGTTGTTTATAGCGTATCTAGCGAGGATATTAGCACCAGCTCCGACTCCCAAACCGATGAATGTTTTAAAACCAAACCGGGCTTGAACATATTTTATTTGACTTGCGAGCTCATCCAGCGTTGGGTAAGTGTAACTGAAACAAAGCGTTGCAAATTACAACTCCACTTATCAGAATTAATTGGGGCCAGGTAGGACGTCAAGTGTATCTTGACTTTTCAAGAAAAAGTAACCTTTTGAAAAAATGTAGGCAACTTTAAAATATAAATCTCTTATACTTATTATCTCTATTATACTTGAAGACTTTCGCCTCTTCACGTTCTTTTCCTAGGATTACTTGGAGTGCACGCTTTCATGCAGTAATAACGAACTGTGGAAGACGGTTTATTTATGTATTTGCAAAAATATAAAGGAAGGAACTGATACTCGCCCTTTTGCAGATAAACTCGAAAATGAATTTATTTAAATATTTATAGTCGCTTAGTGAACGTTCGAGTTTATTATTCGTACTGTTACGTAAGACTGCGGCAGCAAACGCTGTACGTAGGGATAACCTGATTCGTTTAAGTTACGAAGATTTCTGATAGCTCACAACTTAAAGTACATGTAATAGACGTTAATTACAGCTTCGAAAGTTCCCTTACAACTTTGATTGAGAAAAATATTCTATGCGATGTGAATAGAAATTCAAATAACGTGATCTAATTTTGATGAAAGCTATACGTTTTGAATAAATAAGTACCTACCTGAAGAGTTTGTCCTCAATCAATAAGGAATGACCTAAAATCTAGATCTATTGTTTATAAGGTAGTTTAAAATGACATCACTAAATTGGAACGCGAAAATTCGTTGTTTCGTTGCTAGGTTCATATACATGACGGGACCATTGTGTTAAATAAAAGATCCCAGGGACCAGCGTTTGTACGTAACTAGTACCAAGTACCATCAAGTATTGAGCCGGTTACATAACACTGCGGTACCAAACACGAATAACCCTAGTTTTGTTCGGGGTTAGGCCTGACGAAGGACGGTTAATGAAACTAGAAGATATCAATACATATTTGGAAAATGAAGACCAATGACCAGCACATAAATACTTCTATACTACTATTATAAAGATAAACTGTTTTATTGTGTATTTGTAATAAAAAATTATTCCATTAAGAAACAATACAACATATGTATTAATAGAAAAAAAACACAATAAAATCAAAACTTATAAACGTATATTTTAAAATCCTTACCAACCCAATGTAATATTAATTGAACAGCCAGGGCGTGAACGCGCGACCTCAGACTAGGCTTACTACATTTAACTTTAGTAGAATCTTTCTTAGGAATAGACCATGTAAAAGTCTTAACACATATGTTTATAGTTTTTTATTCAAACATTGAATAATTAAGCTAAAATAATTATCTACTTTAACTGAATTCCTTGTATGTATAATTAGTTCTTACTACTCCAGATAATTGAATGGTGAATACGCTATTTTCTGAATCGAACAGCTTGTTTTCATAAACCCTCACATTGTGTGGTATAAGTATAAAAAGAAAGGAGAATTGTAGCATAATTGGAATAATTTTAATAAAATAAATCTTATTTCCACTTCTCAGTGCACGGAGCGTTGGCATTTGCCTAAAGTATTCCTTAGAGAAATCTAATTGATGATTTATGTATTTAATCGTTCTGCTTTCTTATCTACTTCTGCTCTTCTCTCTGTCTCGTCTTAGGTTTTGGGTAAGGATTTAAACAAAAAGTTCTACTTACTCACCCTAGTCAAAATGCCATATCATTTCACAGACGACACGTCGTTTTAACGAAGTAAAATTTACTGTTCCATATGCCTTTTTGATATACACACAATTATCACTATAATAGTATAAGATCCCGCTATACAACGACCTTCACCGAGATGCTTATTTAATGAAACTTATTTTATATTTAATTTAATATGTCAATAAATATAATCCATATGGGTTGCCTAGCAAATTTCAGTCCAGAGTATGTTTAATTAATATTAAAAAAAAAATTTTTTTTTATAATTTGCATGTAGTAAATTTTTTGAACTTTTTTCAATCAATATTTTTAAACAGGGTAGTATTATATATGTATCACTATAACCTTCTTTTATACTAAAGATGTATATATACTTTAGTGTCACATAAAAAAATATACACATAAATAATTAATTGATTAAAAACAACCTAACGTTTGCATATTCTATGGGCTTCATACGTTCGATTGGTATAGAATTTATATAATAATCATACCGGTGAAATGTTTAAAAAAATATTTTTTTTTTAAATTAATTAAACATACTCTGGACTGAAATTTGCTAGGCAACCCATATGGATTATATTTATTGACATATTAAATTATATATAAAATAAGTTTCATTAAATAAGCATCTCGGTGAAGGTCGTTGTATAGCGGGATCTTAGACCATAATCTGCATTCATAATAAGGTATGTTATATGATAAATTACTCCCTAGTGATTCCTATGTGGGAAGGCTCGTAGTCTAGCCCGCGCACCCACCCATAGAAGCTCCGATTGATATTTAGTAGTACACAAAAAGTCTGGAGACTGACTGACTCATAACGGGAGTTGTAGGGATAAAAATGTAAATACATAAACTTTTCATATATTACTTGATAAAGTACGATACGAGAAACTACTGCGGAAAAACAACTTCTAATTAGATTTATTCTAAAAGAGTTTATTTTTTTTACTTTTTATATAATATACGCCTTAGAATAGGGAAATCCGGAAAAACACGTGTTCTTGATCACGTTTGAGGGAACGGGACTGCCTACTCAGTCCCGATCCCTCAAACGTGATCACAGTACACAGACTGAGTAAACAATGTAACGTAGTAATCAATTCGAATATATGAAGTAGCTTACTACAATTTATACAATGTTATTTTATTTAAACGAGATTCTAGATTTACAAGTGCCATTAGACCAATTGGGCTAGTTTCTACTCTGCATGCTCTTTTGTTTAGTTCTCAACGTCTTTTTTTAGGCCGTGGCTTACATTTTTCATTACAGGCTGGCGATCAGTCTGTGCCTGATAGATGTCGCGAATTTTTGGGACTTACATACCATTTTTGAAGTTATACTTCTTTAGGCGCGTTATGAAAAATTTATGAGAGTGAAATTTTACAATGCGCGCGCACCCGTGACACAAAATTAGGAGTGTGATTATAGCGTGCGCGAGCGAGATAGGAATAAGACAATCTACAAGTAAAAAGAAATAGAATATGCGTGAAGTTCGTATGCCAACAATTTTGAATGACCATAATGACATTTGTCATTTACCTTTTAAACAAATAAAGGAGTTTTAATTATTTTTTCAAAGAAATTTAGCGATGCTTTTTGAATTATAATCAGAAGTGATTTAAATTGAATATTTAAACCAATACTAATTAATATTTGTGAAAAAAACTGTGCTCATCAACCTTCCTAAGTGCTTCAATACAATTGAGGTTAACTATCCGTATGTATTATTATTATTATCGAGTAATGTTTTGATTAAAAAATTAACCACATTGTTTAATCAAAACATGTAATTTTTCTGATTTTATCTAGCAAATATAAGGAAAAGAGACAAAAAACAATTGATGAATCAGTGTAACTGCACTAAATTGAATACAAAAAAAGAGGTTTCATCTTATCGCTGTGAAACATCAAAAACTGGAGGTGGAACAAAGCCAAACTATTTTTAATATTGCCAAAGAAGTATAACTTCTTACGCGCGTACATAAGTACACGGACCCTTTTTTTAAATACAGCTGGTGTTCATAGCTTATGTTTTCGGGATTAGCAGGCTGAACAAAATTGTCTATTAAGAAACACAGAAATCTTAGACCAAAACCAAAGGTAACACTGTATTATTCATATGAGAACCCCAGCCTAGCTAATCACTTATAATTATCTAGTGCTGTCCGCGTGCAATTCTATGTTATTAATGTAGTACGAGTAGTTTAGTGTGAGTTATAACAGGCTGTATTCTATTGCCTTTAAAGGTTCAATTTACTTTACAGAACCTAACGTATAATTTTGAGTTGTGTAACCGTTGATGTTTGCATGAATTATGAAGTTTAAAATAAAATTATTATGGTTAAAAATTATACGATACATACGTATTTAAAATCTACACTTAGGTAGTGTATTTATTATATCTCTGGTATAACAACAGCACTGTCACACCGAATGTCCCGTATGTAGTGGGCTCTCCCAGGACCTTTATTTTTCCCTAAATAATATAACGCATATCTTTAGAATAAAATAGATAAAAACAGAGGCAGCTGCTGAGCTTCTACGTGAATGTTAATAGATGGATTTATTTATTTATAAAAGCAGACGGCACACTAATACAAGAAAATTAAATTAAATTTCTAATGTGACAACCACTTATAGGCAAACTTAACACACGATGGGATAAAAAAAACAAACAAAACAATTCTATTATAAAAACTGAATGAAAATCGATTTCAAAGTGTGATGGGAGCAACTAAGGATATCCAGACTTAGGTCGTTTATCAGAATGCGTAATCTGTATATCGGTAAGTTTTGGCCAAAACGCGTTCGTCTGAAAAGAGGGACAAATGGGATGATCTAGGGGGGGGGGATATATTAATGCATATGGGATTGATAAACTCCACTGTTTTTTTTAGTAATTTATAAAAAAAATCAAATTTAAAAAATTCGTAGCTGAAAACAAGGCCCGACCTACAAAGAGTACAAAATTACCACGCGTAAAAATTTGGTTTACTTTAACAACGAATATAAAATAAGGACTTGACGATAAATTCAGTTCATTGAATATGCTCATAGCAATTATACCAAACATTAAACCGTAAAATCAAAATTAATTAGTAACATTCGGAATATGATTTAAATGGAGAGGAAAAGTGATCTCAATACATTTATTGAGCCTTCGTACGAATCTGACGATTTTTTATGTCTTTTGGCGAATAGAAGACAATCAACTTCCACAAGCTTCGTTATAACCATTCTTCTCTTGTGTTCTTTACACCGAAACTATCAAGACGGCATTGTAACGCCCTTTAGTGATATAAAAATTCGAACACTAAGTTGTTACCTTTTCTTTTTTAGCGTCTCTGCTCTG